AATGTGGAATGGGAAAAAGCATGAAAGTAGCATTAAGGCATTTATAACATGGCATTTAAATAACACTAAGTCTTGGGAAACAGGTTCTCTTATAAAATCGCTATTATTCTTAAAAATCCAGTTTGTATGCGTTAAACAAACTGTACACACCTTAACAACCAGATCAGTAGAATATGTTAGTATATATATATTGAAATTGTTCCTTACCCCAGTTGGATTGCGTGTCTTCCCAGTCCTTTTCAAACATGTTAACTTGTATCTTTATGTGCTTATTATCTTAGTTACTTGCTTATAATATACTCAGCACACTAACAGACTTAACATGGTATTCGTGGTGTTTTATGTAAGACACGCACAAAACACAAAATAAAATAAATAAATAAAAACTGCATGTGCACATAAATACTGCTAAATACTGCACAGAGATCAGTGGAGACAGCAGGGAACAGTATTTCATATTTGTGTTTTTCAGACATATATATAAACATACACATGCACTAACAACTATTTCCATCATAGTACTTGTTTTGCTTTTTATTTTTTCATTTTTTATTTCTTTGCTCACTGCTTGCTCCATTTTGCTCCGTTAAATAAAGTTATATGCTATTGAATGGGTTAATAGTAAAATGTTGTTCAACTTTCTTTTGGCTCTCATTTGTTGACAAGTCACATGGGGCAAAGAGTCCATGTTCCCCCGGGCACGAAGGGGTGGAGGTGGGAGACATGCATCAGCCTGCGTCCCTGGTGCAATTTGCAGCTGAGTCACTTGGCCAAAACCCAATGTTCATTTCCAGGTGCAGAGGACGGCTGTGCACTGGCTTCTTTCATTTAGGAAATACTTTGGCACTGTTTTGGATGAGAGGCGATTGTGTCCAAAAGGAGGAGAGGAAAGGGGCGTGTGGCGTGTGGCTCTGTTCAGCGCTTAAGAAATACAGGAAATAATGTGTTTTTCCTGAGAACATTAAAGTTGTAGCTGCTCGGAGTGATAGCGCTGCTGACTGCTGTTAGAACTGTATCAAGGCAAAACATGAATGAATGATATGGTATAATAATGTCTTTTTGAAGATAAGGAAGATCACAGGAGCTGCTTGGATCACAGCCAGATACATGTTGTTTACTTATGTCGTTTGCTTATCGCGTCTCTTTGAATATTGACAGTTCTTTCATTGTAGCACCCACTTTTTATTGCATTAAGCAGCGTTAAGCATAACATCAGATTGAGTAAACATGGTACCACTAGACTATAAGTGCATGCGCCTCCTGTATAGTGACCCTGCTCCCATCACTGTGTGGAGTGAGAGGAAAACATGTCCACAACAGATGTAAAGCGTGTTGTGACTCTGTCTGTAAAAGGTGCTATACAAATAAATAATAATGCATAGCTTTTATATTGCACTTTTTTTTGGACAATCACAGACGCTTTCCATGTCCTTTTTCATTCACTCCATACATATGTGATGATACTACTGTAGCCACAGCCGCCCTGAGGCACATTGACAGAGGCGAGGCGACCAGTATGTGCTAACCATTCACACACACACACACACCTCAGACTCATTCTAGGCCAGGCATGTCCAAACTCCGCGCGCCATTTGCTGCTAACACAAAGTCACCACTGAGGCACTATGACAGGTCATCCAACCAACTTCAGCTCCACTTTTCCTTGTAAATCTCAGACCCTCTGGAATCCAGTTGTGGACTTTATTGTCACAAAATTCCAAATAAATGTAAGTTGTGGTGTAAATCCAGTTTGTCAACCCCAGGTCAAGTCTGATTAACTAAAGCCTGGTTCACACGGCAGGATATTTAGGCCGATTTAGACCCGATTTACCCCTTACGACAATCTTAAGAAACGCTCCGATTTCCGTAACAAAATCTCCCAGATTATCCTGCCGTGTGTGGTGTGTTAAGACTGCACTCGTCGCTCGGAAGGACATCGGGACTGCTCCCGATCTCAAATCGGGGATATCCAACATGTTGGATTGTTTTGGCCCGATTTCTTGTCGTGTGTGGTGTCCTCCGAGGACAAGCGAGCGCGTTGCCATGACTACGGCGTGTAGCCAATAAGAAGACGAGGTGACAAGCCGGTGAGGAAACACCGGAAAAAAACCAAAACACAGCAGCATGGCTTTGACCATTGCCTTTTCTTTGGATTACGTGTCTTCTCTGTTAACAACAAACTGCACACTATCGCCACTGCATCCTCTTCGTCCGCCATGACTGTTTACTCTGAAGTCACGCTTGATCTCGAGAGATTTTGTGAGATTTCCGTCTGACCTGGGAATGCTCGGGGATGGTTCAAAGGTCGGCTCTTGGCCCAAAGCTCTGTTCCACATGTGTGTCAATGCTGAGGGGGGTGGATCTTTTTGGACCACTCTAGTTTACTTGCTGTGAATTTTTGAAGTCTCTCGTTCAAATGAATGGAGCTGCGCCGACTGACAAATGCGCAGATTCAATTTTCTTGTGCGCGGGACCACTCTCGGCCATTTTGGATAGCTCCAGTAGAGCACAATGTTTGGCCCATTAGTTAGAACGGCGGAGATAGGCGTGACTCTGTCCGTTAATATTTACAGTCGATGGGTGTTCCCAGAGGTCTCCCATCACTGTACTAATCAGGGCTGGCCTTGCTTAGCTTCAGGGGTCTGACAGGATCTGGATTTCACATACAAAAACTCAAATTGCACTAGTATTGTTGCAGCCAAAGTTCATTAACAAAGATAGATAGATACTTTAGTGATCCCTCATAGGAAAAATGTATGTGTCTAGTAGCAGCAAAAACACGTCCACACAAACAAAATAAATACATTGAGCATTCTAAAAAGCTATATATTATACATAAGAAAATAAAAGTCTAACAGTGCTGTATATCTATGTATATACAGCATTACTCTCTATACTTAGAGAGTAATGCAAATGTGCTCTTTATGGAAACGTGTTGGCTGTATTTGCTGTAGGAACACAGTATAAAAGCCCTTCTGTGAGGTGTTCCATGATGTTTCCCTGCTCACTGCTCACATGTTTGTTTTTCTGTGGTATTTCACTCATTGACAGATGTTTTCACTGACTGTGCAAAGAGGGAATGTCCCAATTTAGCGTCTCACTGGTCTCGGAGATAAAATGCATTCATTAAAGTTGGTAATAGAAGAAGAGGTGTGATAAGAAACGTGTCTCCGTCAAGTGTATTATTGACATCATTTACAAACGGATTCAGATTAAAAAAACGTTATTGATCCCAAAGAAGATTTCATTTACAGCAGAATCTCAAAGTAGAGCACCTACACAAACTCACAGTGAGTCAGGCAGCAGAAAGTTACATTATAAGTTAAAAGGTTGTATTTTTATGTTCCACTTTGTCTTTGTTTTGTCAAATAAATATGTGTTATTAAAAACAATACAATACAATTTACAACAAATTTCCAAAAGTCAACAGTTTTATGGCAGAGGCACAAAAGAATTGGAAAAACAGAACAGAACATAATTTAATTGCCACAGAAGTCCTAATGCACGATTATCTGTTTGAAAATCATAGACCGAATTTCCACAAAACACAGAATTGACTGGAAATCACAACACGTAATACGAAAATAAAAAGTGACTAATTCTGCTGTCAAATTAGGATCATTAGTGATTCATAACTATAGTAACGGAAAGCTTAAAGCACAAAAGAACATGCTCTCTAAGAATAATTCTCTGATTCACAGATGTGAGCTGTAACTTATACAGGAGGATTTCTACTTCCGGGTGGATCAAGACTATTGGTCCTCCCAATTGTCAATCATTCTGGTGATATGTCCTCGTCAAATAAGACCAGAGAGTTTTGTTAAAAAAGTGGAGAGGGTGCGGTTCTTTCCTAAATTTTGGGAAAATCCTCCTCCACCTTTAAGCCAGGGATGTCAAAGTCAAATAAAAAAACAAAAAATTTGCTACAAGCCGAGAGTCGGTCTGGTTCAATGTTTATTAAAACATATTAAAATGATGCATATAACCTATTGAACCGAGACCTAACACAGTGGATCATATTTTTACTTGATGATGATTGATTAAATGAATAATCCAATTTTTTTGTATGGCTCTGTCAGGCTCACGGACAAAAACAAACTTCCTTCAAAGAGAAAACACATCCTGAACATCAAATTAATAATACAAAATTGTCTTATTGTTCGGTGCGGGCCGTTTCTAATACTAATCAAACATGCAGACTCATGCTTTAAGCCTTGACGTCACTTGTCTCCAATCTAGATGAATAAATGTAACCCTGTTACGTCCACAACTTTCCACCAAAAGTTGTGGACTGCACCTTTAAATTGGAGGATGCAATTTCCAGTGCTAAAGATATATGTGAAAGGAGAGCTCAAATGTTTTGGTTGACACAAAATAAAAGTTCTAAAACATGAAATGCCGAAACAAATTGAGTGAATATTGCAGGTCAACAAAAATGCAAATGAATAGTTAATTTGCAAAAAACAGATAAGTGCCATATTGGAAAGACTTTGCCCTTTACCAAGTAGTTCTTTGAAAAGCCAGGTTTATTTGAGTGCCATACATATAATTTTTCACCCCTTGTTGAACAAATCCTTTCAAATTAACTGCAAGAAAACATGGCGATTATTGTATCGCTAAAGAAATACGTTTTGACACATTTTCAAAAGAGAGATTTCTGTTTTTGCATGTTTTCTTAATCTTCAAATATGAAAACATGAATGTGCTGCTGTAGAAAATGGCAATGAAAATGTACATGTGGTAAAATGCTGTCCATCTTTGACCTTCTTCCAGTTCCATTAGCAACAAGTTTCTTTGTGTTCGTTCCTCTGCGCTTCCAGACACGATCACACAGTTCTGCTTTCCTTGTTGAATATCAAAGGAATTTACTGGATTTTGAAAATGAATTCCAATCACAGCCAGTTCTTTCTTTTTAATAATTAATGTGTATAAGATCAAACAACATCTCTAACCTCTCATTCTCCTTGTTTCCATAGTGATTCACCCCATTCGACTTTCAGCATGACCATGTTTTTGCAGTGAAGATGTGAGTATGACCTTTGACTGAACAAATATATAGGATTTTATCTGTACTCCTTTTAGTGCACTGTGGCTATTTATGATTTTAATTTTGTGTGTGATTTTTTTATATTATAAGGTTTTTAATTTTCTGTTTTTAATATTTCTAGATAAGATAAGATATTCCTTTATTCGTCCCACAGTGGGGAAATTTCAATGTTATCAAACAGGATCTATTATTTGAGAAAATACAGTAGATAATAAAATTAAAATAATAAGTAATAAGATTGCGTTTGGTTCAGAGGTATTTTATGATGAGTATTTGGTTTAGTATGTTTGTTTTTAATCATATAATTTAATGTATATGTAGATTTTAATGTTTATGATTTATGCTTGATGTGATATGAGTTGTGCGGCACTTTGTGTTGCCTTGTGTTGGAAAAGCGTATACAATTTTTTTTTTATGGATTGATATGTTTTAATTAAAAGCAGGGATAAACCAGTCCTACCAGTTAAGAATAACGACAATTTCCCACGTATTCTTTCACACAAAGCCATAGTCCTCAAGAGTTATTGGACGTGAAATGTGAATAATGTTCTCCGTTATAAAAACATGAAGCATTCAATACACTTTTTTTATCGTACATTTTACAAACTGAAGGAGATTCCACCTAAATTGAAACAGTACTATATAAATATAATAGAAAACTCAGTCTAATATCTTTGTTTGTGTCCTGTCTTTTTTCACGTCTATGGACCATTTTTATCAAAATAAACCTAAATAACAAAAATGATGTTTTTTTTCTTTTCCAAGGGACTGGAGTGGAACTGGCTCTTTTCTGCTGTTTTTTCTCCTGATGCTCAATGGTGAGACTTTCTAAATTACATTAATGGAAGGAAATCATCCAGAGATTGCTTATAATAAATTACTCAAACCTTTTTTGAGGAAACAATAGGCAATTAGTTATGTATTCTTTACCTGACAGAAATGATAGTGTGACGCTGGGACAGTCCTCAGCTTTCTCAGCCTCTCACTTTGTCCTGAAAGACAATTTTCCATGTGTCAAAAAACAATGTGGTTTGTTTTTATGGTCACATATAACGGATCATTTTGTTCTGCCTCTAAACCAACCCATGCATGAATTTGTTTTAAAAAGGTCTTTCTTTAGATTCCGTATGACTCTGTTCAGTCCATACTGTATCCAACATAACAATTACATCTTTGGAAGTCCTCAGTATGGCACATTGGAGCCTGAAAGCTATGAATAGTATTTCAAGTTCTGGTTCGATGTTCTGCAGCAGAGTGTGAGACTGGGGCGTATTTGCTTTTGGTTGTTGTGATGTAATAAAGAAAATATTTTCCTTTGGTGTGATCCGTACGAGCATGTACATGTGATCCCATGTGTTGGGATCTGTTCAAATGAAAACGTTTATCATTATGAAAGTTTGAGATTAAGAGTTCATACAGCAGCTGCAGAACATGGGCTAATTTACCATAGTAAAGAAGTATTAAATATCTAGCTTTAGCATAATGAAGAAGCAAGAATTAAGTATACAGCTGTTGAGATGGTGACGGGGAGGAGGAGGGTTGCAGCATGAACTGAAGCGCAAAAAAAAAGTTGCTATTACTATTTTAGTTGGTGATTTGTTTCAATAGTGGCTTTCTGTTCCTTTTGCTTTTGAATGACTTGAGAATTCATGATTTTTTCTACATAGTAACCCAAAAAAATTCTCATTGCGCTAGTAATTTTACATAATTATTCTAATTTAAAGCAAAAGCACATTGTAAGTGTGTCAATATATAGCGTTCTGGTAGTAATTTAAACAGAGATTGGGGAATGCGACTAAATAAGTTACCTTCTTCCCACTCACTTTCAGGCAGAATTAGGTCATGTTTACATACACAATATACTGTACGTTCACGATTGGTCCTTTTTGCACTGAAAGAGTTGAATATATTTGTCTACCTTGTACTTATCTGTACCATTGCCTGAAATATATAAATAAATAAATAAAGATGAATAAACGAAATTCTATCTATGTTTATGCGTTACTTGTACAACTTTTGAAAAGTAAAACACGTAGACGTTTGTAGATCTAAAATTGGTATTAGTTTATAGCTGTATATTCTGTTGTTTGATTTGTACAAATTTGGAGCATTCAAACTTGTATTTTGATCGGTTGGACTTATGTTTCAGGTCAAGTTGGGCGTTTGGCTGGTGTTGCCGTGACGATCCCCTGGCACCATGAGCTGTGCTGTGCCCCCCTTGCACAGGAGACCCCCCCACACTATGACTCAGGGCTGCTCCCTGAGTCACTCCCCCCTCGCTTCTCCCACTGTGACTTCAGCAGCAAACATCACAACTTCGACGACGGTGAGAAATACAACATATTGTCCATGTTCTTTCAAATGTGAAGTGGTGATGTCACGCTGCACCACTGGGTCCTGGGTTAAGCTAATAAACAAAAGGACAGTCCAGTTCACACACAGAGTTGTGTGTGTGTGTGTGAATCACTCAAACGCCGCATGTTCTTCTGAGTGGTGTGCAAACTCTGGGCTCTTTCATCATTGCACTATCCCCTGAAGAAAGCCTCTAATACTCTAATATAGAGTATTATAGAACGGAAATCTAGAAATAAATTGAGGGCACTCATAACTCAAGTGCCCTCAGAATTGGGATGTGCTAGATTGATAAGACTGTGGTGACAGTGGCTCTTTAAGCCTGAAGATTGTGGGTTCAATCCCACCACAAGACCTACTTCACAACTCCCACTAATGTCTGCTGTTGTTGTCTCCTTGGCAAGACACCGTCCCAATTCTCACCCTTGCCCTTAGGTGTGAGTGCCCTCACCAGTAAAGTGCCTTCCCAGTGGGGAGTGCACTCACAACATTCTCCCTAAGAATTGGGTCACCCCTAGATCTAGGGGACAATATGCAAATGACGCAGCAGATGTGTTCCACGTCATACGCATCATCAAAGTGTCTGATTTCACCTCAGATAAGATCTGACACAGACATGACTTTATGACACACAGTATTTATAAAAATGAGAAGTTTTTAATTCTATTTCATATGAAGTTTTGCTATAATTAGGTACAGAACTGCTGCACATCACGCACTCAGAGACAGACGCACACACACGCACACAGACACACATGTACACACATAGAGGCAGACACACACGCACACACACACACACACACACACACACACAGACAGACGCATGTCAGTACGCGCACAGAAACGTTAACCTGGCAAGAGCCAGATTGATGATTGTGTAGAACTTGAATGCGTTCCCCACAATATCAATCTGGGACTTCTGCAGGAGAATCCTTTCGGGGAAAGGAGGGATAAGCAGCCAAATACTTCAAGCTGATTGGGTGAAGTGACGCTGTGTGCCCGCCTACAAAGGTTGCCGTCCAGAAATGCACAAAGCGCATCTCGCTGTTCATCTATCAAAAAAGAAATTGGAGATTCTGCTAAAACTGACTTGATAGCCTCAGCTACGCGTCCGTCCTCCTGCGTAGCCATGTTTGTTTTGCTTCGACCCGGTACTTCTTGCTTTCGTCAAACCCGGATATCCCGCCCTAAACCCCCAGACTGGCGCGTGAACACCTAGATGTTCTACTCGAAAAGGGTTGGCGGGAGCGGGACAAGATGTATTCTCGAGTGTTTATGAACTCACAAATACCGCGAGAATTCAGCTTGCAGGCAAGGTTACAGAGACGTACCACACAGACAGACACATGCACATACACATACGCGCAAAGAGACAGACGGGTACAACCGCGGTCCAGCGGATCATAACGCAAACTGTGTCAAAACGATGCTCTGAACTACATCGTGGATCTTTATTAAAATGGATCCACGTCTCTGAAGCCTCACTCCACACCCTGGAGCCGCTTCGGGAACGAACGTCACCGCACACGGCACCAACACACGCATTAAAAACTCTGAATACGATTCGGAGCTTCCTCCCGTTCACCACAAACTTGCGCGCTGGTGTTTCATGTTGTTTTCTTTCATTTCATTTCTTTTCATTCCACTCCCCTCAGGCAGGAGGCTGCGGTCCATCAGGACTAGAACCTCCCGCCACAAGAACAGTTTCTTCCCCTCTGCTGTTGGACTCTTGAACACTTCTTAACCTGTCCCCCCGCCCTTTATAAAGTCACTTTACTGCCCATCATACGTCACTTTACTTCACTGTACTGCTGTCACCTTACATTGTGTGCACCATGTGCACTTGTATATTGTAAATAGTAATTGTAACTCTATTTTCAATTTATTCCTTAGAAGTGCTTTTTATTCTTTATTTTTATTATCTCTTTCTGACTGTTGCACTGAGCCAAAGCAATTTCCAAGTCTGTGACTTCCTGTTACTTGCGTGGCAATAAAAATGATTCTGATTCTGATTCTGATTGTGGCGCGGTTTTGCCTCACAGCTACTTTACCAACAGCTATCGTAATGCATCATGGGATCACACTCGCTCGCGAGTGAGCTCCGGACCTCACTTGCGCTCAAGGGTGGTTTTTAGGGGTGTGAAGGCCCTCGCCTCTTCTCCCTAAGTATGGGGACACCCTTCCACTCCCGCGGGCACGTGCAAAATCTAGGGCAAGTGTGCTTTTTAAGGGCAAGGGCGAGAATTGGGACGGGGCCGAAACCCCACTTTGCCTAAAGCCCTCGCTGAAAGATAAAGGCTCCTGTGGACTCAACACCTGATCAGTGAGGGGCTGGTGCTAGGTGTATGGGGAAGAAAATGGATGGATTGACAAGACTACAATCAGAGTGCCTGGGACTTTCAAAACCATCTGACTTTTATTATTGTTCAAAAATGTGGATTGATTCATAATTTAAAATGCATATTCAAATTAAAATAAATAGGCAAGGTATATGTATAAGTGGTGACGATACATCCTTCAGTGTGCGCACAGCTAAACAGAACTGTTTTCAATCTGGATTTGAACATTGTCAGTGTACAAGCCTGTCTTACTTTTTCAGGAAGACAGTTCCAGATTGTAGCTGCCTAAGTCTGAAATGCTGTTCCATGGTTAGTTCTGAATCTGGGAACCAGCAGAAGGCCGGTTCCTGTGCACCTCAATCCGAGTTAGTTCTGAAATGACGAAAAGTAAATTAAAAAACTTTGGTTTTATCGATCATGGTATCTGTAAATATTCCATTCCATCCATTCCATCTTCTTCCGCTTCATCCGTTGCCGGGTCGCGGGGGCAGCAGTCTAAGCAGAGACGCCCAGACTTCCCTATCCACACACACTTCCTCCAGCTCCCCAAGGCATTCCCAGGCCAGCTGAGAGACACCCTCCAGCGTGTCCTGGGTCTTCCTTCCGGTGGGACGTGCCCAAAACACCTCACCCTAACCCAGCGGCTCTACTCCGAGCTCCTCCCGTGTGACTGGGGTTCTCACCCTATCTCTAAGGGAGCTCCCAGCCACTCTGCATAGGAAGCTCATTTCAACCGCTTGTATCCGCTATCTGTAAATAATGTCCATTTTTAAACCTGGATTCACTAATGGGAAAGCAAATCTCATCTCATTTCAATGGTAAAATAAAGAGTTTGCTTGTCCCATTGGCAAAGCCTGTTCCTTGAAGCAAGATACAAAACTACTAGATTCAACAATTCACTACAGTATGTTTGATCAGTTTTATTTGTGTAACCTGCAATGTAACCTTATGAAGTCAGTTGCTTGTTAACAATAAAGTAAATTAATTTAAAGTTTAAAGTACTCTGGGACATTCCAGGCAAAGCAGCAACATGGCAAAAGGTGACCCTTCACCTGAAAAATTGCGAAGTGCACCGCACATACAATTATAATCTATGTTATAATTGTTTTCCATTCTCATTTTCTCCTAAAGGTTAATCTATAATACATGCCCAGTCACTTCAAAATAATAGGTAAATAACAGGTTTCACTTCTGGTAAATTTAAACACTATAGAAGTTATTGTTTTAAATAATTGAATATAATTTTTGCTATCCTCAAACTGCCCTCGTTCATATAAGTCTTGTTGTGCAAAAGTAGACAAGGGGGATTCTCTTCTATTGTGCTAAGGGGAGCATGGGGGAAGGATGAACACAAAGGGCGAAGATTTGTTTGTTTACATCGACCAGGATTTGCTGTGACACCTCCAAATCAATGACAATTAGAGAAGAGGTCTCACTGTTGATAATTAAAGTCAAATGGCGGTGGTTTGGGGGGGGCCTTCACAGTCTGACATTTATCGTCATGTCGGGACAATGCTAAGAGATAGATGTAGGTTATTTTGGGGGGATTTGGTTGATTTAGATGCAAGAGTTTAAAGCGCTCACACATAGATAGTTTGCAAAGAATGGGTTAATCAATAGACACTCAAAAATCACTAATTAGTCAAGATGTCATTGGTTGGATTGATTGGTTGGATGTTGGTCAGAATTGGTGTGTCTGATGATGCCAAACCGTGATGTCCTTAGGCAAGACTCTTCTGCCACTTTCTCTAGTATGAGTCTGTTGTGTGAAAGATTGTTTGGTGGTGGTCGGCCAACTTTGAGGGATTCTGACTTGCCAACCGCTATGGCCAATATCAAGCATTTTTAGATGTCGCAGTTGGTAGATCATTGGTCTTTGAACCTAATGGTCTTGGGTTCGAGCCCGCCACGACCCATGTCACCCATGTCTGCCGTCGTTGTGTCCGTCTTTCCGTGGACTCATCCCCCTTCCTGAAGAATCAGCGAGGGACTGGTGCTACAGTACTGTATGTGAATTGGGTGGCAGCTCTGATTGCCAACCGGACCAGACCCAGAAATGGACTAATAATGGGGTAGAAAATGAATGAACCATTTATAGGTTGTTTTAACCAATAGAGCATTCAGACACTCGTTCCTAGTTAAATATTAAAATAAACATAAAAGATTTGGGAAATTCAACTTGTTTCATGATAAAGACAGCAAAAAGGTTCGAGGCACTCTGACTTACCTTAAAAATCCTTGATTGTGGAAGGAACATACCAACACTTTTCGACCCTTTTCCTATTTGCTTTCTACATTATTTCCCCTCAGATCCTCAAAAAGCCCCTGCTTTATTTTTGTTTACCCTGTATTGTTTTTTGTTTTTTTTATCCCTGTATGCACTCACTCCTCCTGTGTTTTGTGCTGTTTTATTGAAATATTTTTACCTTCCAGAAAGCATATCACGTGGCTCTTACTGTTTCTGAGAAGAGCTGTGCTGCTTTCTTCTTAAGACGTGTCTCATTACTGGCCTCTGCCGCTGCCCACAGATAACCACTTCAACTTTACCATGTCCTTCGCTACAGGCCTCTGTGTGGATGTAATCTGTGAGATGAGAGAAAACCGGAGCGTCTTAACCTGTCGGATGGAGACGGACGATTCGACATTCAAGGCCATACCCACTGCCATCGTCTTGCAGACCCTTTCGTAAGTAAAGAGATTGAAATTATAATGGGCTCTTTGCTTTTTTCCCAGAGCCAAAACAAGTATGTCTGTGTGTGTGTGTGTTAGTTTGATTGCATGTGTGTGCATGCGGTTGCGCTCAGTGGGGATCCAGCTTGTGTTTATCCACTAAAGATGAGATGTTGACTGTGTTCTCTCAAACTCTGCTGATTTGCCAGGACAGGAATTTGAAGCCTACAGACGTTCTACTAAAGCAAAACCCCAACAAACTTGTTATTTAGACAGACACAATTCAATTATGAACATTGAGCAAAACCAAATGGATCCTGAAATGTTTGTTTTGATAGCATGGTTCATTAAGTATCAGCTCACTTCATTCTAACTTCAGAAGCTTATTTTGGCTTTTCCACTCACCCATAGATAAAGGCCTTTGTGCTTGTTTGGATGGGAATGAGGCTCTTGAATGGTTCTTTTGGCACCCCTCTGTAATACGTAGCGCCACTAATATTTGTTTGCATTTGAGAATTGCTCTGGATATCTTAGCCCTAAAAGCTTCTTTCGATGCACTTGTGAGGAAATAAAAAAAAAAAATCTTTTCTTTTTGGGTTAAAAGGCACCTTGTCTCTGCAATTTTTTAAAAATCTGTCTTAGATTATGGTGACCTTTTTTATATAAAGGCAACCTCTTTGTGTCTTCAAAAGCTGGACTCTACTTAATATGCCTCCGGAGGTTCATCACAAACTGTAGAGCTCTATCATATAAGTAAGCCGTACACTCGGGTGGGATGTGACAGGGTGCTTCCTGTCCAATAGGAGGCAGTGTCATTGGTACACTTTTTTTTACAAGGCTCTACTGGGACTCCTGCACTCTTACCTCTGTACATTACTCACACAGAGGAGTACAGAGTCTTATGCACTGAGGTCCAATGATCAGCTGTTGCTTACTGTGCCTTTTGTCTGCACAGAGTTGGGAAAAATAGCCTTTGTCTTTCAGCTTCTTCTACTCGGGACATGCTTCAGCGAGACCGGAAGCCGACCGAGCTTTTGTTCTGGAATTCTTTTGAATCAAAACTCAGAGTTTTTTGCAACGGCCTTTCTCTTTTTGATGTAATTGTATCTGTCTGTTGTGTTAATGTGTAACTTTGTGGGGTTTTTTTGGCTGGCACGGTGGCTGAGTGGATAGCACTCTCGCCTCTCAGCAAGTAGGTCCTGGGTTCGAATTCCGGTCAGAATGGGGTCTTTCTGAGTGGAGTTTGCATGTTCTTCCCGTGCTTGCGTAGGTTTCCTCCGGGTACTCCGGTTTCCCCCACCACTAAAAACATGCACACTAGGTTAAATCCTCCAGCTCCGGTAGTCCTGACCAAGCTGAGCATGAACATCTGGAGATGGGTTCCCGGGCGCTGTACTACGGCGACCACAGCTCCTGATGTAAGCCTTAGCGGCATCAGGATGGGTCAAATGCAGAGGATTGAATTGCCCTACAGGGATTAATAAAGTGCAACTATACCTTTAATCTCAATGGGATTTTTCCTGATTAAATAAAGGTTAAAAAAAGGGTGCGTTCATACTTGTTGGTCGGATTCACTTTAACTGAACCGAGTCTGGTTCCATTGGGGAAAGAAAGCTTCACGAAACGGTTTCAAACACTGAACTGACTATTGGTCCAGTTAAAGTGAACGCACCCAAAAACCAGCTTGTGCAGTAAGTCTTGCAAATCCTAAATGTATTTGCTCATTTTTATTAGTGCGTATCTATAAATAGATACACACTGGTTTTTTAGGTTATTTATATGGCAGATTACTTGACGTTTTATCACATTTTTCAGATCCGGATCAGAGAGGATAAACACGTCTGAAGATCCTGTCATCTGTGAAGGGAACAATTCTCTTCAATGTTCTCTGCTTCTTGGTGCCAACCGTTCTGATATCATGCTGCGCGTCATCATCGCTAACGTAACCTCCTCACCGCTTCACCTCGAAGTTCCTACCACACCTGGTAAGAGTCAACTATGCTTCAATTTATAAATATAGATACATAAACGTGTATAAAATGTATCATCTTCAAGCAGTTCAGCCATAAGGAATATTTATCATTAAAACAGTACATTTCCACATAGATTATTATACCGTCTTATGATACTTATATGTCAGCATTGGATTTACCTATGTTGGTTGTTCATTTGAGTTTTTTGCTCAATCTTTTTGAAAGATTTAAAAACGCACCAAGATGGCTGCTTCATTGCTCTCAGTTCTTATAGTGGCTTTCAAATCTGGATGGTAAAAGGATTAAGCCAAGACGTGACCAGAATAATGCAAGATAAGGTCCTGCATTTTAAACTGTGTGAGATCTCCTGCAATGGAAAAGGACTGTTTCCATGTGGCATAGGTGTTATCGGCCGTTCTGAGCCAAAGCTAATGTCTGGAAGGCAGCCTGTAAGTTGTATCAGTATTGGTGTATGGGATATTAGGGTATTGGATTTTTCGTACTTGAAACAGAAGAGTGTTTTTTAAAGGAGCAGTATGTAAAAATCTGGCCAAAAGTGGTACTGCAACCTCTACCACTATCCCTGAATGAGGTTGCCAGATATGCAGACAAATCCAGCCGGGACCATTATATCGGAATAGCCAAGAAAGAACAAATCTATAGCCAATACTTTTGCCACAAAGATATAAATCCTCATTTCGTTCGTTTTTTTGTCATTAATCATTTGAGAATCATAACGAGACCTTTTTTAGTTTTGCAGCCACATGGTTCTTTATCAGTGAGATTAGCTCGACGTGGTGAGTTCTGACAACCCGGATCACAGACTTTCTGATTGGTAAAACAATGGAGGGCGGGACATCGAAATGAAAACAATAACAAGATTTAGGGGCTGTAAAACTCATTTTGAAATTAAAACATATCGGCTGCTGAACTACTGGTATTAGTTAAAGAAGTATTGGAAAAGAGCATGGTTTATTTATGTCTTTTGACTGATTAGGGCCATTTAATGATGACTTGACATTAAAATCTTACATATTGCTCCTTTAAGTTTCTGTTAACTTGATTTCATGGTTAACCTTTTATGACGTATACAAAAAGTTTCAATCTACACCCTGGGACATTTTTCACTGTGCTGACAATACATTTATAGTGAAAGGCCTCAGTGTCTGATCTAACAGTTACAGGCGACCTGTCACTTCCAAACTTTAAATTGTATCACCGGGTTTTTGTATTTCCTCCTTTTCTTGGATTTTTAGTTCAGAGCTTGGGGATCTTCAGTGAATCCATTGGGTTTCACTGAAATAGTAAATATTATATTACTCATAGCGTTGGCTAACCACATTTCCCACAGCGGGCGGCAGGAAACTTGGTACAAATATTATTTTCATATTCGTGTATTAGCAACATGCAGCCTACACACAATTACAAATCCTGCACATAGACTTTTTGATATTTATATCAATAGTGACAGTGTTCATTCTTGGATCGGTGCTGTATATTAAAAATGGATCCTCATAATTTTCTTTCTAAAGAGCTGAAGATTAAGTTTAAAACCAGTAACCGTTAGCCGATCCCATATTTTTAATTAACAGCATGGAGGGCAAATTGTGACTCACTTGTCATGTTAATTTGTGATAGTAAAGGAGATGTGAAGAGGTATTAAAGATGAGAAGAAAAGAGTAATTATTGTGCACTTTTGAACTAATGTCTCAAGTTAAATAAGAACTGCTCAATTAAAGTGCACTGGAACTGGGACAGTGAGGCCCTCAGCACAGAGCAGGTGATGGGAGAGAGGGGTAGGGTCGGAGAGTGTTTGGGCCGGTGTGTGTTTTGATGTTTTATGTGTCTAATACCCCATGATAAGGTGTGGTATATTACAGTATGTACTGCATAGTATCAAATTTGTATTGACTTTGTATGTTGACTAATTGCATTGTATTCTGTGTATTGTGTGGAATTATGAGAGGGGTTTGGGAACAAATAAGCATCTGCTTCATCTAACCCCTTTTGAAACCGTATTAGTGTAAAGATATAGATTGATGAATAGATAGATAGATATATAGACTCAGATATCCAGTAACAGCAGAAACATATCCATCCAAACAAAACAAATAAATAGATCTGTATAATTGGGTTCTGCAGGTTTGAAATAAAACGAACCAACTAAAAGACAAACAGTTCAACATACAGACTTGGTCTAGTTTGTCAGTTTTTTATTTATTTATTTGGAGGATAAAGCCCCTAGAAATGAAACATCTGGTTTTCGAGGGGGTCCTCAAAATTGCACAAAATGACAGACGCAGTAGAGCAATCAAAACATCTGAGAGTTTGGTGCCTCTCAGATGCTAAATATCAAGCTTTATTACTGGTTGAATGATGACCAGCTGTCGATGTCGTGATTGTCAGAGGCAGGCCTAGTTGTAGAGGTTCTATGTCCATATATAGATAATGGGAAATGCGTGTACGTGTTCTTCATCTGCACTGCAGGTTAACCACAAATTCAGCTGTGGTTGTTGCTCATTTTATAAATCAGTAGAAGTGCAGGCCCCACACAGGCTACATGAATTTACCTTTACTTGATTTTATTTTAATTTAACTAACAATCCAATTAGATAAGTGGCATGATAGAAATGAGTCTTGTTTCTGTGATTTGTTTTTTTTACAGTAAAACTACCAGCTCCAATAAACGTATTCCATGAGCAGACCATTGAAGCAGCGCTGGAGTTGCACTGGGAGCCTCCACCGGGAGAGTGGGGCAAGCTGAGGTATGAGGTCCGATATGCCCCCAGCAATGCACCGGCAGAGTGGCCAGAGTGGAAGGTAAATCACTTATGCAGTAATAGAAATATCAGTTTTAAACAAGTCAGAGAGAGCAGAAAATTACTTGGTTATGGTTTAATTGGGGTCAGATTCTGCCCAGGCATGCAGTAATTGTGGTTAGGGGCAGTTTCAGACTCTAGAAATAAAAAAGTTTAAAAAAATGTTGAAATTAACTTTCCCTTGTTTGATGAAAGTCAGGTTGCACTTATAACAGCTGCATATACAATGTCAACGTTGAAAAGCACACATGGGAAAATATTTGTTGTCTGGTTTTTCAAGTGAACAAATATTTCATCTAATTAAAGTGATGCTGTTAACTGCTTATTGTGTGGATATCGAAATTATTAGAAAAAAAATGCTATGTTTGCATGTTCTCTCCGTGCCTGCCTTGTTTTGGATATACATATACAATGTGAAAATAACATACAACAGACTCATTACTTCCAAACTGAGAAATACCAAGGCTTTATTTGTGAAAATGTTGATGATGATTTTAATGTTAGTCTTTTGTATTATTCAAATTTTCCATGCATGTCCTTTTTGAGAGTGAGAAAACATAAAACAATTTAAATAAAAAAATAATAAAAAATGTTCACATTATTTGGAAAAACAGCTTGCGTACATATTCTTCAAGACATATTGCCTTTTTATTGCTTGTTTTTTAAATGACTCACTTAATTTGGGTTTAACTGCGCGCTAACCTCCTGGGACAGTCTTTTTCTCTTCAGTAACTCTACATCAGTGATTCATACAGTGATGCTAAACTTCAAATATCAAAAAGACCTTGATTTTCTCCAGCTTCTGTTGTTATTGCCGCTCACAATCCTATAAGCAACGCACCTCCTACCTCTAATGTGTGCCAAGACGCGGTGACTAAGAAAACGGCTTTGTTTTAGTGGCAATTTCAGAAGGTTGACAAAAAGGCTCGATATTGGGATAAAAAAATATGTTCAGTCATGGTTTTAATATTGCACCTACGAACTGTTATGAGCCTAAGGGGAAATAGAACAATGGAAGATGGAATGCGATGGGAAAAGAGTGGATAGATTTAGTCGAGGGGGAATGAAACTACTTTGTAAAAATATAATTAAGAAAATGACGTGTCTAAATATCATCTTATTTATACACATAGATGCCCCCAAGGTATAAGTTCTGTAGCCTCTGCCATTGGACATAAGAGGGCGCTCCAAACACTTCTTCATTAAAGACTCTTTTTTTTACTGGCTTTTAATGATCAGGAGTAGCTGTGATCATGTTACAAATGTTTTTCCTTTTCTATTTTCTTTTTATTGTGTATTTAAACAGCATGTATTGTCTCTGTGTGAAGCACTTTGGGCAGCATTGTAAATGTTGACCATGAGCTGAACTTAACAGTGTCATAGGAAAGATATTGGTTCCTTTCGCCAATGTATCCTAAATTCATGAAATCCAGAAATTGGTTGATCTAAAATATGACACATTCATTTACTCGAGCAATGAAAGACCAAACCGTCATCTTCTTTGCTGTGGTCTTTTGGCTGCAGGTTTTTCAGGTGTTTGGAAAGACCAGCCTGCGCTTGGACCTGGACGTCAACATCAACTTCAGCATTCAGATCCGCTGCTCAAACCTGGAGGAGGCCGCCGTGTGGAGCGACTGGACCAAGCCTCACCACATCCACCTGGACTGTGAGGGAAACACGACTATTGACATCAATGCAAATAATTAACACCGGTCTTTGCCAGTGCATGATTGAAAGGGCTTTTATTACTTTTTTATCACTGTCAAAGGATTTAATGGCGTTTAGTAGAATTGGATTTAAGCCTTTGTGGATATCAGAGTTGATCTCAGCCATTTAAAATGTTTCATTTTTAAAGAATTGACTTTTCTGACTTTGGAACCCCGAACCATTTTGTACAGGAGGGGTTTTCAACAATGTCAGAAAGAAAGAGAGAAAAAAGAGACAACAATTGGTAAAACAAGGATAAAAACTAACCTACACTCACACATCTTTACCGTAAGAAAAGGAAGAGAATTAATAAAAAATAAAATCAAAAGGTAGAATAGGAGGAAAAATAAGACAATTAAGTAAGTGTAGTGTATCCGTGTATAAAGAGCTTTGTCTTCTTGTATTCTTGAAGAAGACAATATAAGTATATATGTATTAAGAGAGTCCCTGTTGAATTAACCTGTTTGATGATCAGGCAGTTTTCCAACATGTCCTTCAGGAATAGATTTAATGCACTTTTGTTCTAATATAGTGCTTATTACACGTACACAAAGTATAAATGACAGCAGGGCTTAAAGTTTTCCGGCACCGTGCCGGAAATCCGGCGTGAGAAAAAAAAAAAAAAAACATCACTTTTTTTTTTTTTTTTTTTTTAATATATATATAAATAAATAATGATTGCTGTCATTTGAAAAAAGGTTCAAGTGTGTTCTACCAATTGTATGAAAGGATTGCATGTGTATAGCGCAGGGATTAAAGAGTTCCGTCTAAGTGACGGATTTCCGTCAAATGAAATTGGTCTGAAAAAAAAACAAAATATATAATAATAATATAATACACACAATGAAATGGTTAATTATAACAAAATATATAGTAATACGTGTGAATCTTTTGTATATATCTAGATATATATTAATAATTTGAATATAATTGTATTTATATGTATATAGAAATAAAAAGTAACGAGTGGGCCTTGAACGTGCCGTGGCTAGCTACATGAGCGCTCCGTAAATGATTCAAGGCAATGGGACGTAGCCAAGTTAGCGATGGTAACACGGAGGTGAAAGTTTCTGAAAAGTGCACGGAGCTTTTGAAAAGGAGAAGAGGACAAGGAAAATGTAATCCCGAACGGAGCAATAACAGCCAGCAGCCCGCGGACCGGTAAACTGGGCGCGTTATCAGAGGAAAGGTAGGACATAATTAACGTTTACCAAACGCAATGCTTTTTTATTTAACGGAATGTACAATATGTACTTTGCTGTGACTGGGAATGGGGACAAGCATGTCTTGGTGAGCTTTTGATAATATCTTGGTGGCGATCCGCATGCAAAACTGCGTGATAAAAAGAGCCAATCAACGAGAGCGAACGGAAGAAACTCGCTGAAGAAAGGTGTGTGTTAGCAGGTCTTATATTCATTCATCAAAGCTAGCCTAGCATGCACGCACAATCACAATCATGGATCGTTGTTTATGGAAGAAGGAGCTGTATAAGTTGCTGTTGATAACGGAGTGAAAAATAAATGGAGGTGGGCATGGCTGGATGAGGTGGAGACGATGGGATTCTGTTGCTTCATGGTGCAAAAAGATGAAGGTGTCCGGTGCTTGTTCGTACTTCGCTATTATTATTTTTTTATATGGGAGTAATGAGAAAACAGCTTTGGATTCACCACCAGCTCAAAACTGCGCACTTGGCAGCTGTCCGTGCACTTTCCCACACTTCTTTACCTGGTGCATCAGATTCAGCGACAACTGAGACTAGGCTTGCTCTGGTGGACTGTGTCTGTGACCTAAAACTATCTGTGGCTTTATCGCAGAAAATAACCTGTCGTTCAGAACCATCACTACCGCTGGTAGATTTAATTATCATTAATCATTTGCAGTTGATAAAACTGCGCTGTGCACTAGCACCAAGTTGATAGGGAAACCTTTTTCTTAAACATTGAGTGTCCACAAACAAATGTGGACAGAATTTTGAATGTCCTTTTGCGATATTTTGACGAGGACAGAGCCAAAGGACAACGCCTCATCTCGCCTCAAGTAAAGCCAATGATGCAGATGAACTACTCTCACTAATATTCTGTCAAAGAGTTGACAAGTTGCTTGATCCACTGGTTGTAATTTCACATCAAAATACACCAGTTTAAATGTATATCTTTGAAGAATTCGTTTGATCTGTAATTCATTATATTTCCATGAGAAAATTTTCAGTCAAATCTTTTTTTTTTTGCTTTAACCCCTGGATGATGTATTTATTGCCAACAACTGATGTTTATAATAAACATCAGTTGTTGGCATTAAATAGATATAAATTATATGTATGAGCGTATAAAGGCGCTTATAAAAAACGCTTATTAGTGATCATTCTATGATTCATATAGATGGTTCAGGCTCAGGAATTTTTTCAACTTTAACCCATGGTGACATTCACTGGTGCCTGATTCATCTCTGAGGACCGGGATCCCACACTGACCTCTGTGACCCATTCCTTCTGTAGATTTATGACTGTGTGTGACTTTTCTCATTATCTCCGATCGTTAGGAAGAGCTCATCTAAGCACCAATGCTCCTGAGTCACTTCCTGCACTGGTTAACTGCCTAGAAAACAATATCATAACAATATGTGTGTATATGAAGGCACTGAAGGATGGCTCAAATGCCTTCAGGGCCTTGATGCTTACTTAACTGAAGATTAAAACTGAAGGTTTAAACTTACCAGCGGAAGGCAAAAGTGTAAATACTTTGAATAATATTATGAAAAAAAATCTTAAAAATGTACATACAAAAGAAAAAAACATTAAAAAGTAAAAATGAATAAACAGAAAGTAAAATAAATAGTCCCTAAAGTTAGTTTATGAACAAATAAAAGGGGTTGGACGAAGCAGTCGCAGCTCCAACCCCTCTCGCTCATTCTAAAGGACACACACACACACACACACACACACACGCACACACACGCACATACACACACACACGCACACACAGGCTTACGTAAATGTCTCCATTGTGAGATCAAGGTTATCTATCCTCCTAAAGCATAATCTTGGACAAAAAGATCCACACGAAAGCTTCAAAACAACGTTGTTATTTAGTATGAGTGTGTTTGATTTTTGATGGAGTTGAAATTTCAAGTAAGAAAGAAGTCTTTTCAATCGCATTGTCGTAAACACCTTGGACAAAATAAGAGTGACTAACATTGTATTGTTCTGGAGGTAATTGTTAGAATTACTAAATGAGTCACGAAGTCTGATTAACGTTTTGTTTTCTCCAGATCTGAGCTATATTCCAGAAGTTGTGAAGGCGCGTCCTGGTGAAGCCGTAACCATCTACTGCGTGTTTAATAATCGCACGTCTGAAGCAAGTTCAGCTCATTGGAACCTGAACTTACATGAGCCACTTCCAAGCAACCAGTACCACCCAGTCAACCAGTGGGTAAGGGAAATATACCTAGGCCACCTGCTAAATGTTTTCATTAAAATTACCTTTTAACAAGTGGTTTTGGCAAGGAAAGCACAGTTTGTTCACAAGACAACTTAAAAGGATATCTACAAAAAAACAAAATAAAGACTTTAACCCTTTAACATTCACACCTTGAAGAACGCAATGTGTATGTTTGGATTTTCTAAGCACTAATAACACAAATCACTTGTTTTTACATTGTTTTTTGCAACCCCTACTTTCCAAGCAAATGGTTGCGATGCAGTGTGATGAAAAATGCCTAAAACCAAGTGAGATGCCCCAAAGCGGTTTATTTCAGTTCCAAGCATGCTTAAAGAGGATATTTCTGTAACTCAAAAGGTGATCTACCAAATGGTTGAGGAATACAATTAAAGGATTAATAAATGTCAACTTGAATCTTGTATTAGTTCGAACTTCTCCCAAATGTTAGAGAGGGCAAATATGAATCAACTTTTAAGAGTTCTTACCCATATTTCAATTGTTTTCCCTTATTTGATTAATTTGTTTTGTGCATATTGTTACCGTATGTCTTTACCGTTACAATCTTCCAGTTGTATGCACAGCTGACCAGAACTGTCTTTAACCTGCATTCAAACATTATTAGAGAAGAAGCTTTTCTCACATTTTCAGGAAGACTGTTCCAGAATTTAGCTGCAGAAATCTGAAATGCTGCCTCCCCATGCTCGTGACACTGGGCATGAGCTTCTTCGTCCGAGTTGGTTCATATGGGACCGACATGTCTTGGAAGTACTTCGGTGCGAGGCCATGGAGAGCTGTTTTAAAGTCTATTCTCTGGACTAATGTGATCCTACTTCCCGGTTCTAGTCAGGACATTTTGAAAATACTTCAGCTCAAAAAAGTTAGGTACTCGTTGTGCCCTCCTCATCAGAAAAAAAACAACTTCAGCAACTAATTTCACATCTCATTTCCTCAAAAATTGCTGGTACATTTGAGACTGGGTAATTTAATCCTATTTTTTGTTTTCATTATTTCCTAAGGTGAGCCAGGTAACAGTGCGGCCGTCAGGAAGGCGCTTGGAGGAACTTCTGCAGTGCTCTCTAGACGACAAATTCTCCTACAGCCAAATCTATGTGGAAGGTGATTTTGTCAATTTTTTATACCTGGGAATAAAAGCAGGGAGTCTTATTGTGGTAAAAGGAGTTGGAGGAAAGACGTGATCTGCACAAAGACAGGAAGTTGTGTTTTGACCTTATTGTTTTCATGGTTCCAGGCGCAAACGTCGACATAAGCTGCACAACAAATGGAGACATAAATGAAATGGAGTGTAGCTTAAAGGAAGACAACCACATGATGAATCCCATTTTCAAGTCTAGGTAAGACAAAATATATGTTTACTTAGTGCTGTGTGAGCAATACCATCCAAATAGTTCAGTATCAATAGTAAGCTATAATTACAGAAAAGACGGAAAATAAGAAAGAATTAAAATACAGTCAACAAAAATAATTAAATTGGAAACTTTTCATCACTAGGACTCCCAGAATTCTAAAATTACTCCCTGAGCAGTCATTTCAACAGCTCCCATTAAAATCAATGGAAAACTGAAAAATAAAGTAATGAACAACTAAAACTGTTTATCAAAATGAAGTGATTCCTATATTGAAGTTATTTTAATCGTAATCTTTAATAAATGCTAAGGCTGGGTGATACAACTGAAATGCAGCAAAACTAACTGCTGTAGGGAAACTGCTGTGTGTTGCTATGGTAACTAGCACTTTTTCCAACCAGTCCAGGACCAGTCTGGGGTTGAGGTAGTTTTATACACATAATAGCATTGAAATAAACCGCATATAGATATAGAAAAAGTTATGAATACCAAAAATGTATTTAATGCTCTGAGAGTTCTAGTGTTAAACCATATTTCCAATGGATTCTACTGGTAGAATTAACTGTTATTGTTTGTTTAGGTGGGCCAATGTGCTGTGTGAAGAGATGGAGCGAAGGGAGAGGGCGGGGGAAGAGCAGGGATCACAGGGTCCAGTGTGCCACAATCAGATGTCCTGCAAAATCCATCCCCTCCGGATGAATTGCTACAAACTATGGCTCGAAATTGATTCTCAACTGGGCCCCATCGCCTCCAGACCGATCTACCTGTCTCCACTTGACCATGGTGAGTGCAAGCGGGCTCCGGATAATAGTATTCAGATATCAAACATGTTGCGGAATATTGGAAAGACCTTACATCCATACATACAAACATATATTCATACATACAGTATATTCATTAAACATCTTTAATGACATTCAGCCAAATACTGCAGAGCCCTAAATATTTGAATATTATACTGCCAGGATTTTTGTGTGTATTAGCTTCAAATGTTGATTTTTTGCTTCAAATTTTCTGAGGCATTAGTTTGCCCTAACCCTTGTACAGTAGGTCCCATTTCGTTTTGTCGCCTTTCACGCGTGAATCACACGAGACTCACGTGTGATTCACGCGTCTTTTATTTATTTTTTCCCCAGTGATGCTGCTATGACCCAAACAACCACCAGGTGACACTTGTGAGCAGGGTTGGGAAAATTGGCTTCTCATCGGTCTTTTTTCTCTGTTCACCGGATAACTTTCTGTGGCTTTATAGCTCAATGATAAGGAGGTGGACTCTGGTGTGAGAGGACTCGGGTTCAAGTACAGTCTATGACACTTTTGATTTTGTTGACGTTTACATTTTTTCTAAAACATACTTAGTAATTAGGCCAACACATTTAAAATAGTTGCTAGACTGTAGTAAACTGTTGTAAACTTCACAATCTGCACCAACCAAACTGCAGGAAAAAAATTCAACTTTATTCAGTAACGGAGTAATCTGATTCATACATTCCCCCCGCTAATAAAAACTGAGGGTTGGCCGGGGCTCGAACCCCGATCGCCCAAGCGAAAGTCTTGGATAATCCTGCTACACCACACAGGCGCTGGAGAAAACCCAGGATCTAATACAAAAGACCGCTGAGTAAATGAGCCGTGCGGATGTGCGGGACGCTTATAATGCCTTATATGCAAGTTAATGCAAATGTTTGCCATATGATCTGCTACTCCTGTGCATTTTAGAATTCCTAATTAATGGTAGCTATATGTAACATGTGTAGTTTAAATTTTTGTATTGCTAATCAAAGTAAAAGTATTCTGAATACAGTGTACACTCGTGTTTGTTTTGTTCCAATGTTTCATGTTCAATAACGCACTTGCTGCTGGCTATCCCATACTGTAGAAGAAGTCAGAAAGGAACTTTTGAGAAGAAGTGTTTTTATTAAAAAATAAGAAGTAAAAATAAGTAATAAAGTAAAATACAATTGTATTGTTACAGTACTTACAATACAGTGCAGTAAGTTAGTACAGTGTTTTACAGAGTCAATCCTTTAAACTTTAGCATTCAGTAGCGACACTTTTAAACATAAAACACATTCTCACGATATTGCTAATACAAATTTATGATGGGGGGAAAACTTTCTTTCGCCGTGTTTTACAAATATAATGGAGTTGGCTGATGAATGTCTGCTTAGTTTGTGAACTGTATTGAACTAGATTGACCTGGGCTCGAGTCCACAGGAATGTCGAAAATCCAGTTCATCTTCACATATGCAAAACATCTTCACATAGCCTATCACTCAGGCGAGCAAAAACCGAGCACGTTTTCTCCAGTGTTAAATAAAAAATACTTAGTAATTAGGCCAACACATTTAAAATAGTTGCTAGACTGTAGTAAACTGTTGTAAACTTCACAATCTGCACCAACCAAACTGCAGGAAAAAAAATGCAACTTTATTCAGTAACGGAGTAATCTGATTCATATACTCCCCCCGCTAATACAATTTGAGGATTGGCAGAGCTAAAGCGGCAGAGCTAAAGCGGACTTAACCTGCCACCTTGTGGCGATAAGATGTAATATTTTTCACGCAGCTGCGTGATTCCCGAAAAGCGTGAATGAAGACGACAAAACGAAATGGGACCTACTGTACGTGTTCCTTTAGTAACGTGACAGCAGCGAAACAGGCCAGAGTCGACCACATGCTACCTCCCACGAGTACACGGGGCCTCCCCTGTGCCTGTGTTTTGTCTAGTCACGGCAGCCGAAGCAAACCAAGATGGCGGACATGAAGTCCGCGAATTGCTTTAAAAGTTAGAATACGAACGAATTAGGACACGGATGTCACTTTTATGCAATTTGAGGCGAGATGTTGATGGTTCCGTGTTGTGATATGTGGGTTTAAGAGTAAGAGTTTTGTGTAAAGTTTGTTTTAAGCAGTCAACTGCTCCTATGAAACCACACTGCTACTGTTATGATAACATGTCCTCGAGTTGACTGCTGCATACGTAATTTTACTGACTTAGGCCGATGACGCGTCCTGTGACTGGTCTGTCGGGTTGATAATGTAAATAATGAATTAAATTTAATGCATGTATCATACTGTATTCAATATGATTAACAATAGTGCGTTCAAACAAAATATTTAATTAGATCAAGTTTTTTCCCCCCATTCTGTCGGGTTTCTGCGGATGCGCAAATCAGATTTGGGTTACACTAGCAGTGTGGTTTCACAGGATCAGTGGACTGCTTAAAACAAACTTTACACAAAACTTTTACTCTTAAAACCCACATATCACAAAACGGAACCATCAACATCTCGCCTCAAATTGCATTAAAAGTGACATTTGTGTCTTAATTTGTTCGTATTTTAACTTTTAAAGCAATTTGCGGACTTAATGTCCGCCTTCTTGGTTTGCTTCGGCTGCCGTGAGACGCAAATGCACAGGTTTGCATTACATCATAAACAGCTGAGGCAGATCATCTCGACGGGCAGACCAACTCGACAGAACACCGGCCAAAAAAAAAGACAAGATCTGCTGACACGGGCCATTTGCCAAGATCTGAAGCCTTTTAACCTTTACACGCTTGTTAAAAGAAAAGTGAATCTGATCTGAATTAAAAAACAGGGTTGATACATAGATGCATGAGTTGACAGCGTTTCTTCATAATTGATTATCTGCATGCACTGCCCTCTGGTGGACAAAACAATTGCTGCAGTAACTAGTTTTCACATGGATACATTTTTGTCCTCTGCCACACCTTAAGATCTGCCTCAGTAGATATAAAAGTGAAAAAGAAAGGACCTTCCTCCCTCAGCTAACCAACTCTCAGCTCAAAGCATATCATTATTCATTCACTCCATACACAGTGGTGATAAACTATCACTGTAGCTACAGCTGGAGCACCTGGGGCACGCTGACAGAAGCGAGGCAGCGAGCATGTGTCATCAACCCCTCCGATCAACCATTCACACTCACACCAGACTCATTCTAGGCAATGGGGGTGAAGTGTCTTGCCTAAGGACACAACAGAAGTTTGGCACTTTACAGCCGCAGCTGCCCCACTGTGGCATCAGGTGTTCCCAGAAGTTAAGTGTCTTGCCAAGGACACAAAGACAGCAGACATCAGTGGGAGTTGGTGGAGTTAGTCTTGTGGTGGGCTCAAACCCACAACCTTCAGGCTCAAAGGCCAATGCTCTACCAACTGAGCTACTGTTGCCCTACTGAGCCACGTATGCAAACGTTGTATGTTTTATAATAAAGAATATCTTATTGTTCACGATCTTCATTCCTCCAGTAAAACCACACACACCCTCTAACGTTACGGCTGTGACTGGGAGGTCTGGGATCCTGACCGGGAGGCCCGGGATCTTGTCAGTCACATGGGTTCCTCCCCCTCTGCCCGTGGGTGGGGTGCAGTGCGAGTTTCGCTTCCATGCCCCTACAACCAAGGGGCCGCCGGTGTGGAGGGTGAGTGCTCTCCGGTGTTGTAACATAGACTTAGAAAAAGGCTTGATGACTTTATTAAAATAGTCTATGATGGAAGTTGTTTTGAAGATATTAAAACTATCAAGTGTAGTGTTTATGGTCAAGCAAAGATTACAATAAAACATGCAGTCTTTCCAACATAAACTACAGTTAAATTGAATATCCCTGGCCTCAGCTGTTCTTTTTAAAGGCATTCAGTCCAAACCTTTTCATGATGAAATAAATAAATAGATTCTTCCTTGGATTCATGACTAAATTTCATTTTTAATACTAGAAGTTCAATCTTGACCAAAATTGAGGATCACAAAACAGCTATGGACAGTGTGCACAAATAGACCATGTTCAGTCATCTCGACCGATGTAGTCAAAAAGGACACATTCATTTTGTGCATGCATAAACCAGTATATTTTAGATCAATACAAATGTTCAAATACTTAATAAGGATCCATTAGTGGGATATTCACTTTTTTTTAACTCAGAACCATAGGCAGCCTAGCCTGGCCTTAGCCACTCCAGTCAATTATTTCCTACATGCACGTCTGGTCTGAGTCCTTGTGGCTGCTGTTACCTCGGTTGTATCCCAACCCACCAAGGTAGGTGTCAGTGACGTGAAGAGCGTCGAATTTGTTGGTTCAATCTGAAGAGACCAAAGACACAATTAATACAATACAATTATTTATTTGTTTGGCGCATTGACCCCGGCAGTGACACTTGCAGCAATGAGATCGATTGCAGCTGAAGATGATCTCAGATCCCCCGGGGTCAATCACTGGTGGTGGCTAGAGTATGGTGTGAATGGGGCGTAGGCGGAGCGGGAGCCTAGAGCGGGAGCCAAGAGCGGGAGCCAAGAGCCACCCTCTCACAGCCGCTTTGCTGTGAGAGGGTTGGCAGGAGGCTGGCCTGGCTGTGTGATTGGCTGAGGCTCGAGGCTGGCAGAGCTGTGTGATTGGTTGAGGCTCGAGGCTAGCAGGCACTCGGTCTTTCAGTCTGAACCTGCGCATTCAGCTTCATTTCTAGTTTGGCACTGGCGGCGAAGGTGTTTGGGAAATGAATCACACAGAGAGAGACGGGATCATGGTGCACCAAAGCTCTGGAAGTTTATTCTCAGGCTCCTTTCAGGTTTTTTCAGTTTTCTCAGACAGAACAATGTCAGGACATGATTTTATATAGTCATTGTTACGTCACACATTGAAAGACATACGTGTCACATTCAGAGAGAGCATATTATAGTATAACATGGATACACAATCAGAGTCCTTGTAGAGTCTTGTGTTTGTCCACCTGCATAGGTCATAGGTCATACAGCTATATCTAATCCTCATAGGTGTTTATAAAGTAAACCTGGTTCGGGTCCAAATATAAAGAAATTGAAACCGGAGCAAGAGGAATGTTTATCAAATGTCATTGCTGGCAAATATTATGTGGCTCTACTTCCCACAGGCTCCGTTAGTGGCAAAGGAGATGGCTAAAGCTAGGCTAAATGCTGACGACTCACTCACTCAGGGGCCTTACACACGTCATAGTAAACTCAGATCCAATCGTTTCAATCTGCAAAAGGAGTTAATCCTTCTCAACGGAGCTCAATGGAGAAACTCCAGACCTTAGTACGAAATGAAAATAGTATGATAGTATGGTAAGACCAGGCTATGGGTAGCCCTGCCATCAGAGAGGATAAAGAAGCTCATCAACATGAGTGGACCCCAGGAAGACTCGCGACCTTGTGGAAGCTAATGAAGATCCAAATAAATTAATTTTATTGACTACCACCACAAACAATTTCAAGCTGTCATAGATGTGAACTGGGTAACATATGCTATTGAAAACTGGGGGATGGAAACTTCTAATCAAGCTCAGTACTTTATGTTGTCATTATGATTTGAACTTGGAAAAAACATTGTATTTCAGAATGATCGGCTTCACACAACCACTGGGTCATCGTTCATAATCTAAAGTCCTATAGGGATCATAATAGGAAATAGTTCAAATGTTGTCCCCTGTTGTGTCCTTCATATTGACATAATGTGAATGTGTCTGTCAGGTCCAGCCTCCGGTGCTGGAACACAGCAGCGGCGTGTCCGTCTCCAGCGTGTGTGAGTCATATGCAGTTCAGGTGCGCTGTCGACCCAAACACAGCGGCTACTGGAGCGAATGGAGCCCAACCGTGTACTCTGTCCCACAAAACAGTCAAGGTACTTTATCACACACACACACACACACCCAGTCACATGTATACACACACGCACACACACACCCAGTCACATGTATACACACATGCTCACACACAGTCACATGCACACACGCACACACACAACCAGTCACATGTATACACACACACCCAGCCACATGTATACACACATGCTCACACACAGTCACATGCACACGCAAATAAACACCCAGTCACATGCACACACGCACACACACACACACACACACACACACACACACACACACACACACACACACACACACACACACACACACACACACACACACACACACACACACACACGCACACACACACACACACACACACACACACACACACACACACGTTTTACATGGTTCTAGTGGTAAGTTAACATGTAATGTAGTGTAACACAGTGCACTGTCTTCCCCAGCCCCTGAGCGCGGCCCTGATTTCTGGAGAGTAGTTTCTGATGATCCGACTGGAAACCGATCTACAGTAACTTTGCTGTTTGAGGTAAGATCATTACACATCACTATTTAAATGTTCTTACTATTTAATGTTTTTACTTCAAATTTGGATTAATGTATGCAGCTTGTTTCATATCAGTTGTCAATTTACACAATTAGATTAATATAGCACCTTTATATTGTTAGACTTTTGTATTCAATACTTTCTTGACCATTTTCATGTCACAAATATATCTGTTAAATTTGTATTATTACACGGCTCCTCACAGCAGCAGTAGAACGATCCATTGATTTGAATGTAATTTCAAAACGTTCTACCGGTCATTATTTCTTGATAACGGACCTCTCAAAACAATAATGACCGCTGCCCATGGCAACGCAAACCTCTGCTTGTGATTCAGGTGTGTAGGTTACTCCGCAAGTAGTTTCGGCCACTCCGGAGCTAGCCACGCTCTATAAGCGCAAATACCAATCAATCAACACAATTAAATGTTAATTGGAGAATACATTATACATATACAGTCTTAATATACATGCACGGAGGTTTTCAGAGTTTTCTGTTAAGGTTTTCATGACAAAAACACTATTTTAATGCGAGAAAAAGCGATCGCAAAAAACAGTTTTCATGCAGTTTGAGAGAGTTCTTGTTTGGGAGTTGCCAGCCTAACTGTTACTCGCGTAGCCACAGGAAAGCCTTTGGGAACTATTTTATTCTCTGTCATTAAATAAACCTTTTGGCATTCCTAAAAATGGACTGAAGTTTATTTTGTGTGTTCAGTTGGTACAAAGCCGTATAATAAGAAGGATAATGTATAGCACACAGGTCATTATCGGAAAATAAGTACCAACAGGGCGCGTGTCGAGGTCCCTTACTTATCTGCAATTTTCCACAAAACAATGTATTAATTCTGTAATATGAGTGTCTTGGTGTAATATTAGTGAGTTATCATAACTAATACGAGTATACTAATATGATATAGCTTCATATTTACAATAATTACAGAATGTTATCCTCGCTTTCATTTCAGGTTTAATTGCAATCACAGCATCAACTTGTCTCAAGACTATGGTGGAAACTTATCTTTTTATTTTGGACTAATATTTATCATGCAGAGTCTCTGAAATAAATGAATAATTGAAATTAAATCATGTCATTATCGTAGCTTATTCAGTGGCATTCATGAATTTAGTTCTACCAGTTCTAAAGGTCCATGTACTTTTCTCGTAGGGTCTGCAGACATCGGGCCTGACTTATTGCGTGGATGGATTGAAAATCAGGCGCCATCCTCTGGACGGGTTGGCCATCGAGGAAAAGACCGGCCTCAAATCCTCCTACAGCTTTCCATGGAGCCACGAAGTCCAAACCGTCAGCGTGGAGAGCTACAACAGCCTCGGACAATCTGCGAACAACTTTAATATCACTCTGAGCCGAGTCAAGCGTGAGTCATTTATCAGTCTTCATGCAGCAGTAATGCTTTGGTTCAAAAGTCCTTCGCAATAAATGAGTTTCCATTTAAATCCGCATAATATCTCTTCGCTATTATTGTAATTTACTGAATAATCATGGTTCCCAGCTCTTCCCTCACTTCCTGTTTTTCTTCTCTCCATATCTTTCATAACCACATGAAAACTTTTAAGTTCATGCAACATAATCAAATGGCTTTATTAGAGTAACAGTGCATTTAATTGACGACCCTCAATGCAAAATACAAAAACATTTCAGATCAGGGTCAATGTTATTACATTTCTGTAAAATATACATTGGACTATATTTTAATTGTAATTTGTGTCTGTAATTTGGATCTTCATGTAAAGCCGTTTTTGAGAGGAAAGAAGGTGTTGTTAGAATGCAATGGACCCTTTTCAGCCGGGACCCGCCCGCACTGATCTTACCACAATCACACTATATTTCAATGGTTTCTCTGCAGAGACACCCAGACTATCCAACACACTTCCTCCAGCTCATCCGGGCAAATCCTGAGGCATTCCCAGGCCAGCTGAAAGACATAGTCCCTTCATCGTGTCCTGGGTCTCCTCCTAGTCTGAATTTTTTACCACTAAGGCCATAGCAACGCTGTGATATTACTTTCAAATCAGCTTTAGGGGAGTCCAGGGCTGTAAGGAGCAGTTCATATTAATTTACGCTGTTTGTTTATTGTCGTAATGGACTGTAAATTAATCGAGGCAGCAGAAAGTACAACCCATTACATTTATTACGCATGAATATGATGCACTCTTAATTGTGAAACTACTCTCTAGCATCAAGTCGACATCTGGGATTTTATGTTATAGTCCAGATGAGAGAGCGTTTGTATGTCCTGCAGGAATCTGAAAATCTGGAGACACACAATGTAACAAAATGATCAAATGGAAGGACGGGTATCATGTTTTTAGCTTCACACAAGTAAATTTTGATTGCACAAAATCTGAGATGCTGTTGAAAGAGTGACATAGAGTGGTTCTATTTCAAGCACGATACAGTACATCTCTAAATACAGTGCCATACAAACAGGGATTCTGAGTTCATTTGTTATTACACCACACACCATACTTGTCCTTCACTATAGATAGATTAGATTTGTTTTGATTTATAGAGCTATGATTTTTTCCCCCAAACACAGTACAATATTTTATGGACTATTGAGCGCACCTGTAAAAAAACGAACCAGATAAATTTGAAAAGAAAGTAAATTTTGCTCACATATAGGCCGCACTTGAATATAAGCCACAGGTTTTCATTTTCTAACGTAACACTAGACAAACAACTGATGGACGACTATTAGAGTAAAACAAAATTACTCTTTTAATGGTATTTTGACAATAAACAGGTGTGTATTCCCTCCTAAAAAAAATATATCACAGTGTCTGATCTTTCCATGGAGGAAAAGGAAAAAAGGGCGCAACTGCCGCAAATGATGTAAAATGAGCTAATTGTGGAGAGGCTTTTTGCTGTGTGTTGTTGTGTGTGGGTGTGATATCGTTAAGTGCTGTTTGTGTTTGTGTTCATGCCTCTGAGTGGTTGTTTTCGCCTCTCTGCAGGCGTAGCAGTGCACTCCTTCCATGTCCTGGTGGTGAACAGCTCGTGGGTGTCCGTGTCCTGGTCCGTAGTGAACCAGAGCTCTCCGCCGCTGTCTCTGGTGCTGCAGTGGACTCACCCAGACAAACACACAAACCCACTCGGCTGGAAGAGACTGCGCCCCTCCGACCGCCCTGTCCTTTTGCGAGGTGATGCCCTGGCTTTGCTTCATTAGAGTGTGTGTTTTTAATGTGTTCTAACCATGTTTTTAACAGTGTTCTCGCAATCAATTATAACTGGGGCTGTTTTTTAGCTCCATCCTCTTCACTAACATCGGGTACTACTGGGACATATTCGCCCAATCATATCCCTCCATCTTTTCTGTCTGAATGCTCCCGTCTTGTTATGCTACTATGATAAAATCAACGAAGCTGTTTCATCATCCTAAAATATTAGTACTAGAGACAATCGTGGGAAACCTCCAGTCAAATTACAACGGTGTGCATTCAATTACACCACACACTTGAACTCCCAGAGCAGTCAATTTGAAGACTTTTTGTTTTGGAAGGGTAATTACTCCATTTATGTGCGTGTTTGGTCTTTAAACCTTGACGTTTTCTGTATCTACATGTAGTTTATTTCTAAGGAAATACATTAATGAAATGATCTCAATCTTAAACTGGTCCTGCTAGTTCAGAACAATCTCAGCTTGGAGCAAGTGCTAGTTACCATAGCAACACAACATTTACTCGCAGCAATGGATTTTGCTGTTTACTGTTAAAAATAAAAAACTGCATGCCTTACTTTTTTTATTTATCAATCAATCAATCAAAGTTTATTTGTAGAGCGCCTTTCATACACATGGCAACACAAAGCGCTTCACAGTCCACATCACAAATCATCACATAAAACAAACACCAGAATCACAATTAAAACATTAAAATCACACAAAAGATTAAAACACAATTAAAACATTAAAATCACACAAAAGAATAAAACCATTAAAACTTTCAAAATTACACAAGAAATTTAAAAAAATAAATAAATGACAGCAGTGCATTAAAAATGGAGATAAAATCCTTCAGTTGTATGCACAGGCAAACAGAACAGTCTTTAACCTGGATTTGAACATTGACAGAGTAGACGCCTCCCTCACATTTTCAGGGAGATTGTTCCAGATCTTAGCTGCATGGATCTGAAACGCAGCCTCCCCATGTTTGGTTCTCACTCTGGGCACCAGCAGGAGGCCAGTCCCTGTGCTCCTCAGAGTCCGGGCTGGTTCATATGACACCAACGTTCATATGAACCAGTTCAACGTTATATTTAGTCATAATACAACAACAGGTTTATCTATATTTTATATTCTCATTCTTATGTATATATAACTTGAAATGCTAAAGTAAACAGTCTCAAGATCATGGGGCCATACAGTAGTTAGCACATATATTGCATCTTTTCTCAAGAGCCTAAAGCTGGGGTTCTCAAACTTTATAGTCAGGACCCCTCAATATATTTGAGTAAAAATGAAATACAGAAACACATTTTAAAATAATATCTTAAAATCATCTTCTGTCTTGTGCCTCCCTTGTTGGGTCCCGCACCCCACTTTGAGAACCACTGTAAGCTCTCTCTTGGTTGTGACTTGGAGTGGATTTGAGTGCCTTGTTCTTGACTTCCAGGAGACTTCTTGGGTTCTGAGGAGTATGATTTCTACCTGCACCCTGTGTTTGCGGATGGCGAAGGACAAGCTGTTCATACGAAAGGTACATTTTTACATAACAACACAACATAAGATGAGTCACAGCGTACACATAATAATGGACGAGCCTGTTTTTAAGCCTGCGGTCTGACTGAAAGTAAACTTCTAACTGTCGCAATAATGTTTAAAGCTGTCGTTCTGTGGACAAAAAACAAACTTTGATAAGAGGTGTTACAGTGGGTAGGGTTTGCGAGTCAGGTGCTCTTCAATATCTAAAATGCAAAAATTTCAATTTTATAAGGAAAAACTAAGGTCTGAGGCACAACTGACTTTGAAAAAAAAAACTTTTGATTGTCTGCCGCAATGAAGACCTAAGTCAGGGATGTCAATGTCAAATGCATCAGAGGCCAAAAATAAATAAATGCTACAAGCCGAGGGCCAAACTGGTTTAATGTTTATTAAAACATTAAAATGATGCATATAACCTAATGAACCAAGACCTAACACAGTGTACCATGTTTTATTTGATGATTAAATTAATAATCAAACAATTTTGTATGGCACTGTCAGTAATTTCAATAATAATTTTTCAACAGACTCAGACAAAAATACACTCCCTTCAAAGAGAAAACACAATTCTTCAACATTGAATTATTAAATCCAATTTCTTATGGCTCTCTGTGCGGGCCAATTATAATACTAATCAAATATCATCCCAGGGGCCAAGATAAATCATTTGCTGTCCGGATCTGGCCCCCGTCCTTGACTTTGACACCCATGACCTAAGTGGTCGAAATGCGTTGGTGTCCCGTGATTCTTTTTTTTTTTACTTTAAAGTCAGTTGTGCCTCGGACCTTATTTTTTCCAAAACAGACTTTGCTCAGTTACTGGGCTACTGGATTGGGCTGCAACAACTCTTTTTGTCTGCTTTTTTTTTCTATTTAGATTCAAAACCTGTACAAAACATGTTCACATAAAGCAGACAGTTGTAAAGTTATATGGTTTGAAAAGGGTTTGAATGAAGGCTCTTTATTATATTCTTTATTTTGTCACTATATTACCTCAATGTACTCAAGTTGACTAATTCAAGTAATGATCACTGGCTACTAACATAAGTGTAGGAAATAACCATACAAAACTATGTTGTTATTTTGCATGTATTGAAGTAAAAATGCAAAAATGATCGTGGGCTTACATGTCCACAAACCAAGGAGGAAAAATGATTGAACGTCATATACAGAATACAGATGAGCCGATGTCACTTTCCGACCGTGACATTGGCTCACGTCACCTCCAGAGAACAACTTTCTGTGGCTTTAGAATTGCTTTTCTTTGATTCGAGTTATGAAGTGCATTGCGTTTATAGTTGAGTAGGTACAAAAGGTTCTTTGTGATGTTTTTGTTCAGCAGTGAGACGAGATGCCGGGGACTTCATGCTGCTGATGATCATCTCCTTTCTGTCCATTGTGCTGTTGGTCACTCTGGTCCTCTCACAAAACCAGTGAGTTTTCAACCACATGCCACTTTCTTTTTCTTTACGCGGTGTCTTAGTATTGTCTTTTATATGGACATTCAGTCTGGATTAAAGATGTATTATTATCATTATTATTTGTATTATTATAAAGGCTGAGCAATTAAATATGTATTATTATTACTATATTTTTTGTTATTGTAAAGGCCAAGAAATCATTTGTCATTTTCAAGTATGCCCTGTTTTTATGTGGAGAAAGGCCATAATGACAAATTAATATCTTTTTTTTTTTTTTTTCATTTCGGTTACATGGTTTGTCCTTTCAGTCTATAAAATAAAAAAAACAAGTCTAAAAGTCAAACTTTTGATGTGAAATTATGTTTTTAATTGTTGACTAATGGCCGAAGAAATCACCAAACTAAACACGACTTTGCATTTTTTGCATGTTTAGAAGATCAGGTTGTATTGCATCAATGTTTTGCAATTACATAATAACCCACAAATGTAGGTATTGAAACGGTATCTACAGCTACATATACAGCAGTACTTAATTAATGTATTGACAACAAACCGTTCACACTTTTGCATATCTTCAAAAAACGATTGCAATGTGATAATTTTGTCAATACATTCTCCATCTATTCTTTCTATTCATGTTTATCTGCTTTGTTTGTTACTGCGACCTATTAAGACATGATGATTAATTGCTTTAATCTCAGCCGTTCAGAGGCAGAAGATTTAACAGGTCGTGAAAGAGTAATTACACTGTGACCGAAGGAAAGGAGGACGTGAACGAACCAGGGAAACCAAAATCAGAATATGCAGGATCTGAAAACGCTCTTTTTAAACCCCAGGATGAAGAAAATAGTGTGGAGGGATGTGCCCAACCCAAACAAGTGCTCCTGGGCCAACGGAGTGGACTTCAGAAAGGTAAAGTCCATACTAATATCAAGCAAGTAAGATATAGGAGACTTGCTGGTGAAACTTTTGAGGAACAACTATTTCATTTCAGTTCTCGTTGGTCCATCCAGATTCAGATTCAGATTTGTTTCATTTGCTATTTGCAGTAAAACCACATAGGAAGACATTTGCAAAAGTCCCCAGTGTGCCCCAGACAAGTACATGAATAAACAAGGTTAAAAGTACAGAAAAAAAAACAAAAGAAATTGCATGAAACAATTGTCACTGTGAAATCAATCAACAAAAACAGTTTCAATACCAATACTGATTAGTAAAGTGCCTTGTTTAAACTGAGAACAGCTTGTGGAAAGAAGCTAAACTATTCGTATTAGTACTTTCAGATTATTACTGTAATGTTATTTTTTATTTTTCATTGTGAAATACAATGCAAGCTACCGTGACAACGCAATTTCCCTTGTGGATCAATACAGTCTGTCTAAGTCTAATCTCTTCAGATGGATTTTATCACATAGTTCAATTTTCTTGTTGTTTTAAAGTTAAATGCTTTTTCTTGCTTAAGTCTGGGCGAAAGTGGCTCAGTTGGTAGAGCATAGGCCTCTGAGCCCGAAGGTCGTGGGTTCGAGCCCACTGCGAGACCTTCTCCACCGACTCCCACTGATGTCTGCTGTCGTTGTGTCCTTAGGCAAGACAATTAACCCACTTTGCCTATAAGGAGCGCGGAAGTGGTGTTCGCTGCTTGCCTTGATGTGTATACAGTGCCTTGCGAAAGTATTCGGCCCCCTTGAACCTTTCAACATTTCGCCACATTTCAGGCTTCAAATATAAAGATATAAAAATATTTTAACAGGTTTTCTTCCAGAATGGTCCTGTATTTGGCTCCATCCATCTTCCCATCAATTTTAGCCATCTTCCCTGTCCCTGCTGAAGAAAAGCAGGCCCAAACCATGATGCACCATGTTTGACAGTGGGGATGGTGTGTTCAGGGTGATGAGCTGTGTTGCTTTTACGCCAAACATATCATTTTGCATTGTGCCCAAAAAGTTCGATTTTGGTTTCATCTGACCAGAGCACCTTCTTCCACATGTTTGGTGTGTCTCCCAGGTGGCTTGTGGCAAACTTTAAACGAGACTTTTAATGGATATCTTTGAGAAATGGCCACTCTTCCATAAAGGCCAGATTTGTGCAGTGCACGACTGATTGTTGTCCTATGGACAGACTCTCCCACCTCAGCTGTAGTTATCTGCAGTTCATCCAGAGTGATCATGGGCCTCTTGACTGCATCTCTGATCAGTCTTCTCCTTGTTTGAGATGAAAGTTTGGAGGGACGGCCGGGTCTTGGTAGATTTGCAGTGGTCTGATACTCCTTCCATTTCAATATAATTGCTTGCACAGTGCTCCTTGAGATGTTTAAAGCTTGGGAAATCTTTTTGTATCCAAATCCGGCTTTAAACTTCTCCACAACAGTATCTGGGACCTGCCTGGTGTGTTCCTTTGTCTTCATGGTTCTCTCTGCGCTTTAAACAGAACCCTGAGACTATCAAAGAGCAGGTGCATTTATACGGAGACTTGATTACACACAGGTGCATTCTATTTATCATCATCAGTCATTTAGGACAACATTGGATCATTCAAAGATCCTCACTGAACTTCTGGACTGAGTTTGCTGCACTGAAAGTAAAGGGGCCGAATAATATTGCATGCCCCACTTTTCAGTTTTTTATTTGTTAAAAAAGTTTAAATTATCCAATCAATTTCGTTCCACTTCACAATTGTGTCCCACTTGTTGTTGATTCATGACAAAAAATATTTTTTTATATCTTTATGTTTGAAGCCTGAAATGTGGCGAAATGTTGAAAAGTTCAAGGGGGTCGAATACCTTCGCAAGGCACTGTATGTGTATGCATCAAACTAAAATTTCCCCATTGTGGGACGAATAAAAGACCTTCTTCTAAAAAAAAGAAACCAAAAGTATGTATGTTCTTGCTTTAGATGGACCCTTTGGAGCACTTTCTCAAATCTCCGGAGACCCTCCCAGCCTGGCCCCTGCTGCTGCCCATGGAAACCATCTCCACTGTGGTCATCATGGACAAGATTACGCTAGTTCCAACTCGTTTTGATCCCAGTAACTCTACAAGTTTAGATCCCCCGGATAGCCCATCAGAGCCCTCTATGGATAATACAGACATTTTAAATCCAGAATTCAGCGCTAGTCCCCTCGTGTCGGAAACATCGGACGTCATTCAAGACAGTTCCGGGCAGTTGTCTGTAAACTACGCCACCGTGCTTCTCTCCGACCCGCAGATAAAAAAACATTTTCGAGACGGAAGCGGCTGCAGCTCTTGCGACGAGGGAAATTTCTCCGCTAACAATTCGGATATTTCAGACTCGGACATTGACAAACGCCGTTCGGGTTCCTACAACTCGGAGGAATTTTCCGACTCATCAGACCATGACGACGACAACAAGCAAGAACAAGACTTGTATTATTTAACATTAAACAGCGAGGACAGCGAGGGAGAGGAAAATGAAAGTATACTCGTGAAAAGCATTGTTTTAGGCAAAGAAAACGGCTCATGTCCTTTGATGGACGCCGAGGCAGACTCTAATGAGGAAACTCTGCTCTACTTGCCACAATTCAGGACTGGTCCCGTCACAAACGAGTCTCAACTGTGAAAGCCAATGAGCGAGCCGCGTGGTGTCAAAAGGCTTTGTGTGGCGAAGCATTTACAGAATCAAATTTCCATTAACAAGTGAAAAAATGAAAAGAATACCTCTGATTGTGTATTATACTGTATGAATTTTCATCAGTGCTGCTTTTATGGTTTGTAAAATGACGGTAAAAGGGACATGATTTTGAGACGTTACTTCTCGTGGCAGTGAGACAGACCAATGACTGGACAATAGTTGCACTTTTTTAGCAGCAAACCAGTAACTACACATAAATCTCTTTTGGAAACCATCAAAGAAGCAAAACAGCAGACAAGACTGCTCTCTCAAGACTATTTTAACTTTTATAATTTGAGGGAAAAGGGTCAAGATTGTTTAGTATTCAGAAAAATCAAGCCCAATCAGCCATGACACAAACCTATACATATGATGGGTTGTCAAAAGTATAAACAATCTGATGTTATCAATTCTAGAACTGGTATAAAAACGTAAGAAATATGACATTCTTTTTGAATTTTAAGAAACATTCTAAACAATACCAAAAGAACTTCAGAATATTATGCAAAAAGGGCATTTATAAATAATAAAGTGGTATCAAAATTGGTATTGAAAATTTGTTATCGTATTCAAATGGAGTTTATGCCACACGAGTGCATTGACATTTATTAATGGATGCATCGACTGCTTGAGAGATATTACGGATGTCCCATAGTATGGTATAGTATTAATGCTTTAATCTATCCCCGGCACGTCCAAACTAAGGCCCATGGGCCAAATGCAGGCCTTTGTCTCATTTTATGTGGCCAATTGCCTCGCAAACACAAAGTATATATTGAGGCACTTTCACAGCGTCACCCAGCCAACTTCAGCTTCACCAGTATGGTCGTGCTATACCCCAGAACCTTTGGAATCCAGTTGTTAACTTTAGTTTTTCATACTGACAAAAACTTTCAAAATTCCTTCGTATGGTGCTAATGTTGCTGTGATGTGAACCAATATGGCCACATTGGAAACCATATTAAAGACCAGAACAGAACGAATCCAGACTACTAAGCTACTAAGTAAATAGGAAATGTGTAAATCTGTCAACCACTTAGTTTCAACAGACTATTTAAGAAGATACCAGTCAAGGAGCCACATTCAATGTCAAAGACATAACATGGTCTAGAAAAGGAATCCATATTTTTTTTTAATTCAGAGAGAGTGCCTTTGAGGGAGTGCCTAATTTTCTCCAGTTTCATGAATGAAAGAGCGTCCTTAATCCATAGAGAATGAGTTGGTGGGTGAGGGTCCTTCCAATGCATCAAAATACAGCGCCTAGCCAACAGTGTTAGAAAGGCCACAAGACGTTCACAGTAGGGTTGTAAGGTGTGGTCGGGAGGCAGTGTGCCAAAGAGGGCTGTCAATGGGGACCTCTGAACTCTGGCATTACAAATAAAGGACAGGGAATCAAAAACAGTGTCCCAGTATGTAGTCAGTGAAGGACAGGTCAAGAACATATGAGAAAGATTTGCTGGGCTTAAATGGCATTTCACACACTTATCATCAGAGCCTGGAAAGACTCGAGCCAGTCTACTCTTCGACCAATGGACCCTGTGGACCACTTTGCATTGAATGATACAGTGTCGCGCACAAATAGATGAAGAATGAACACGTTTAAGAGCAAGACCCCATTGTTCATCATTAATCTCCACTCCAAGTTCCTCAGACCATGCTACTCGCAGATTGTTTGATGAAACATTAAGTAAAGAAAACAAAAGACTATATATTTTAGAAATTGTACCTTTTGCTGAAGGCTTGAGTGTCATAAGTGCATCAATTGTGGTGGTATTGGGAATGATTGGAGCACTTGAAAAATGTTTACTAATAAAATGTCGGGCCTGTAGGAAGCGGAAAAAGTGGGTATTTGGCAGGTTAAATTTGGAAGATAACTGGGCAAAGGATGCCAGAATACCCTCTATGTAAAATTCTCTAACTGAGGCGAGTCCCTGGTTTCTCCATATGGTAAAGGTTCCATCAGTCAGCGATGGAGGAAACAGGGGATTGGAGTGAAGCGGGGAGAGAAGAGGGATTCCCTGAATAATGAAATGTTCTTTAAATTGGTTCCAAATTTTAAGGCTGTTTTTCACTATAAAATTATCAGAGTATGATGTATGTGATGATTTAAGAGGGAGACATACAAGAGAAAACAAAGAGCCAGAGTGACAAGAGGTCTCCTCCACCGACAGCCAGAGTGGTTTATCATTGCTGTTGCTGCACCAAAATAGCATTGTGCGTATATTTACAGCCCAGTAGTACAGCAGAAAATTTGGTAAGGCAAGTCCTCCCTCCTCTTTGCCCTTTTGTAGCACGATTTTGCACAGTTTGGGGGGTTTCCCGCCCCACAAAAATTGTGATAAAGTATTGTCAAGGGTCTGAAAGAATTTCTTGGGTATAAACACAGGTAAACTTTGGAAAAGGTAAAGGAACCTGGGCAGAACGTTCATCTTAACGCAACCAATTCTTCCCGCAAGAGAGAGTGGTAAGGTCGACCAACGTTCTATATCTTTGGCCAGCTGATCAAGCAGTGGATTCAAATTGAAACGGAATAGATCTGAAAAGTTATAGGTTACATTAATCCCCAGGTATTTAATGCAATCCAGAGAAATTTTAAATGGTAAATTTGAAAATTTGTGTTTAGTGGCCACAGAGTTAACTGGGAGAAGTTCGCTTTTATTGAGATTCAGCTTATACCCTGAGATCTGTCCAAATTCCTCCAATAAAGTCAAAATTGGAGGCATAGAAACATCAGGGTCCGACACAAAAAGCAGGAGATCATCAGCGTATAACGATACTTTGTGAACCCTGTCTCCTCTCAAGATGCCCCGCATTGAACTGGATCTAATGGCTGCGGCAAGTGGTTCTATGGCAATCGCAAAAAGAAGGGGAGACAGGGGGCACACAGGGTGTGAGAGGACCAGAGTGACCACAGGGGGTGTAAAATAAGAAAGGCCACTCCACCCGGTCAAATGCCTTTTCGGCATCCATGGAATGACAATTTCAGGCAAATGAGATGACGAGGGGGAGTGCAAGATATTCATGAGGCGCCTTATGTTATGATAAGATTGCCTGGACTTAATAAAGCCTGTCTGATCCGAGGCTGATTAATTTGGGCATTAGCGAGTCCAGACGTTTTGCAAGCATTTTGGCTAAAATTTTTACATCTGTGCCCAACAACGAGATTGGTCGATAATGGCTGCAGTGCCGTGGGTCTTTATGAAAAGTGGTGGGAAGGACACAAGTGTCAGAACATTCTTTTAACATATTGAGAATCAAGGGCGACAATTTGTCAACAAAAACCTTATAGAACTCTGATGGGAATGCGTCTCCCCCAGGACTTTTTCGGCTCTGCATGGACATAACAGCCTTCTTTAGCAGTGAAGCACCTGTCCAGACTCTCAGCTAAAATTGGGTCAAGTGTTGGAATGGTAAGGCTTGAAAAGAAATTTTCATAACAGTCATTATTAGGCGGACATTCAGTTGTATACAGAGAGGAGTAGAAATCCCAAAATTGGTCGTTAACAGTTTGGGGATTAATTGTCAGTACATCCGAAGCAAAGATTTCAGTGATGTGCTGCGCAGCTGCTGATTGGCGAATCTGATGAGACAGCACTTTGCTGGGCTTATCACCAAACTCGTAGTAGTTGAACCGGGTCTTAGCTATAGATTTAACTGCCTCTTCCGTGGCCAATGAATCAAATTCAGCCTTTTTTACTAACAGTTCCTTAGACAAATCCGCCGAAGGTGAATCTGCACACCTTGCCTGCAGGTCAGAAATGGCTGCGTAAAGGGCTTGGCTTCTTTAAGAGGCCACCTTGTTTTTATAGGCTGTGTAAGAAATTATTTCACCCCACAAGAAGGCCTTACAAGCTTCCCATGTGACACTTGCAGAGATGTCTGGTATAACATTTGTAGAAATAAAAAGGTCAATTCGTTCGCTTATAGTTTTAACAAATTCTGCATCATCAAGCAAGAGAGAGTTAAAACGCCATGGAGATCGGGAAAGAGTGTTCCCTGGAAAAGATATGTCTAGTGTAATGGGAGCGTGGTCTGAGATTCCAATTGGTGTTTATACACAAGATTTCACCATAGGAAGCAAACTATTTTCCAGCAGGAAAAAATCTATTCTTGAAAATGTACCGTGGACTAGGGTTGAAATACCGCCAGACATCAGAGAAACCATACTGCTGCATAAATAGTTCTATTGTTTTTGCGGATTTTGATGCAGAGTATGGTTTAATGGAGGAACGGTCAAGAGACCCAAGACAGCAGTTAAAATCACCCGAAATAATAAACTGTCTACTGTTCAAGTCAGGGAGATTAAAAAACAATTTCTTGAAGAAATCTTCACAATCAAAATTTGGTCCATATATGTTCACAAGAGCAAGATTATTTCCCTAAAACTATAATATAACGGCCATTAGGGTCTGAAATCACATTAGTCACTGATAATGGGACAGCCTTGTGAACAAGGACAGCAACACCACGTGCTCTACTATTGAAAGAGGAATGGTATAGCTGTCCCACCCAGCCAAATCGAATTTTAAGTTGATCAGCGACTGACAAATGGGTTTCTTGCAAAAAGGCAATTCTTGTGTTTAATTGTTTCAGGTGATTAATAACTTTTTTCCTCTTAATTGGAGAGTTTAATCCTTTGACATTCCAACTAACCAGTCTTAAGGCACCACCTAGCGGCCTAGAGATATTACTATTCAACATACAGAGTTAGAGTTAGTTTCCAATTGTTGTGGCTGATACATAATTCGTAATTGTCAAAGAGAGTAGCACTTGTAGAAAAGAAAAACACAAGAGGAAAAAAGGAGGAGGTGGAGGGTAATAAAAAAGAAACAAAAAAAAACGGTCACAAAAGGTCACAGCCAAGCATCTGATCTAGTAATCAGCATTTTGTAAAACTTCCTAATCCCTAACACTCTGTGACCGCACCAGGAAAAAAAAGATAAACACCAAGTCTTCATTATCATCCAATTTGGTAGCAAGCTTGGACTTTCTGTAGCAACTCAATGACGCTAAGTAACCTGAATGAAAAATAAATAAAAATAAATTAATACCCATTACTTGGTCAACCATTTTCGGTTCCTTCACTTTTCAAAAAAAAGAGAAAAAAAAAAGGGAAAAACATTTCCTACATGAGCAAATTTGGCAAGTGGCATTGTCATTATAAAGGAAATAATGCAAGTTACTGGTAGGAAATATTTACCACAGACGTTTAGGAGTCATTGTCCAAGTCCTGAACAAACTTTTCCGCTGCTGGAGCTGATGTGAGCCACTTCCTCTCCCCGTTTGGCATCATGATGCGCAGCTTGGCTGGAAAGAGCAGCGCCGGGCGGTATCCTCGCTTATACAGCTCGGCCATGGCAGTGCGGTACTCGCTGTGCAGCTTCAACACGTCCGGGCTGTAGTCTTCGTAGATGCGAATCGGATGGTCTTTGTAGAGCAGGGGTCCTCTTCTACGGGCCTCACGGATGATCAGGTCTTTCACTTGGAAGGAGTGGAGGCGGATGATCACAGGACGGGGTCTGGCTCCTGGAGCGGGCTTTGGAGCGAGGGTCCGATGGGCTCGGTCAATCTCCGGGGACGTGGAGAGAGTGTTCTGCCCAAATACATCAACCAGGAGCTGGGAGAAGAAAACGGTTGGGCGTGTGTCCTCAAAATTTTCAGGTAAGCCCACCACGCGAATGTTTTGACGTCTGCTGTGACTCTCGAGGACCTCCACTCTCTCTCTGAGGGAATCATTTTCTTTTTGTAACGCGCACCAGTTGTTTTCAATGTGTGTGAGGCGGCTATCAACCGAGTTCGCGTTGTCCTCCAGTGAAGTGATCTCTACGCCTCTACGCCGTCCAGTTTTGAAACGAGGGTCTGGAAAGATCTGACGAAATGGCTTCTCTATGCTTCTTGAGTAGCGCCGTGATGTCTTTCAAAGTTAAGCTAGCGCTAGCGGGTTCTTTCTCAGGTTTTCCTTTGAGTTTAGACATTGTAACTTGTTTTTAGCGTCTATGGTTGCATAAAAGGCAGTTACAACCCAAAAAGCTACAACAAAATGGGGTTGCGGTGTCAAAAAGGTTAAAAATGAAAAGTATAGTTAGTCTCGGGGCAGACTAAACGTGCGCCTATTCCTCGGCCGCCATAACCGGAAGTCTCATATTCATTTAGGACCCAGAAATGGAAAACCCTGTGTACTGTGAGCGTTGGTCTCCATTGAGGTCCCCAGGTTAAATGCAGTTTAATGCCATAATGTGAGACATCCGGGCATCAAGGCACCATGATGCGTTTAAGGAAAAAGCAGAATGTCAGTGTGTTGCATTGGTGTCCTGCTCTTCATCGTCCTAGCAGTAGTTCCTGCTTTCAACATGTGCATGACTCTCACCAGCTCAAAGATCACCTGTCACTGTGATGTCACTTTTACTGGTTCAATATTCATGAAGTCTTTTGGTGTTTTTAAACGACCTGTGTTTCGGTGAAACGGGGACAGATGAATGTAAAGACAGACAAGTCGAGAAAACAAAACAAATTGAAGGTTTATTGTACAATGTATGTATTTTTAATGTCAGAATAAAGTATTTATTGTGAAACTGCGCTGTGTGTTTTCCTCCAGACACATAAAGACGGTAGTGCTGTGCTGCCCCCTACTGGCTGTAATGTCCACAGTCATGCTGTGAAAACAACAGGGATTTGATCAGTCACAAAGTCAGAATAGTGGTATTAGGAAAGTAGGGTCAAATAAAAACAACAAAATACCATGGGATTTATTTTTATTTTTATCGTTGACAGAAAAAAAAAACATTTTACACATTAACTTGACATATTATGTATATCAGAAATAATAACTGCAAAATGTAATTAATAGCCACACATAGTTATCAGGTAGAATGAAACAAAATAGTGAAAATAGCCCATGTTTGGTGGCTTCAACGAGGAGATCAAGTGACGTTATAGTTATGCAGAATGTTGCATTTTCAAGTCACAAACACCAGGTGGCCCCGTGACATTAAAATGCTATCCATGACTTCTGAATGTGTTTATCTGATAATGTCAAAAGATTCCAGTCAGAAGAGAAACATCAATATTGCATTAGTTTTGTTGAGATGTTTTTTTTTTTCTGCATTACATTTTGATTTTCAATTTGGGTGAAGGCCTCCAAAAAAAAATTCTAATTCAGATCAGCATTAGCAAGAACAATGTGTCCCTGTCGAAGGGGGAAAAGTCATGGATTCATTAAAACATGAGATGATACCAACAATGTTTGCATTTGGGGACTGTAGCCACATGATTTACATTGTTTCATTATGAAAAAAGTAAATAAAATCAACAAGAAAATATTTCCTTAAACACAATTAGCATTTGAAGCTACAGGACCAATTTACGAGTTATGTCTAGTTTTTTGGAGTATTTTTGCCAATAAAACAGCAGAATTTAGCAAAAATCTATTCCCAGTTATCTATAAAAATACACCTGATAGATTGTAGAAAAGATTAAAGCTGACATATTTATGGTTCTCTTTAGTGACCCAGATCTCCTGCACTTTCCGGTTTAGACCAGAGGAGCTGGAAGAATGCGAACAATCTTTCAAACTGAACTTTTCCTCCATTAGTGACAAGCGATTGCAGTTAATTTATGACTAATCCGACCCAATCCCACACATACAGAAGCTGGAAAGTACAAATGGCTTTATCCTTTGGACAAATCAAACACTATTTATTCTTTTGTGCTGGAATGAAAGGGATTAAACATCTTGTGGTCTGCATCAGGGAGGTAAACAAAAGTATGCGTGAAATGCACTAATCTTCCTAAGCTGTGGGAAGTCATCAATCGTGTTTGTGAAGAGCGGTTCTCTAAATTAGAAGGCACCTGTTAGAGATATGGTGGCGTGCTGTTATGTCTTCTGGGAAAAAAATAAGGATGGCATTTTGTGGAGAAGACATTTTTCTTATGTGTATTTGTTTTTGTTGTCGACTAAAGACCAATACAAAACGAAGAAGCAGTGGTGCAAGCAGTGAGTGGGTTGACAGATTCAATAGTCTTTCCTTGCGTTACCTTATCATGTATATATGGAACATAAAATGCCAAAAATATATAATATGAAGTAATTAATGCTTGAATCAAGTTTTTCTATTGATATACAATCTGACTGTCTCAAAACAAGATTTGCCAACGGGACGCAGCCATTTAGTCTCGTTTCAAGAATTGTAGCTTTAATTTCTCATTTCAAGGGAGACATCTCTTATATCTTTGTAAAACAAGATCAATTTGCTTGTCCCATTAGCAAATTTTGTTTCCAGGTGGTCAAAATGTGCTCAGGTAACCCTTTAATCGTTTCCTCAACCGATTAAAGGATGAAATATTGATTCACTTTTTGAGTCGATATATCTACTTGAAGCTTTGAACTGAAATATACCTTTGGATCTCACTTGGTTTTAGGCACTTTTACCATCAAACTGCATCTCAATCATTTGGTAAAGGCCAGTAATAAAAAATCTTGGGGTTAAAAACAACATTTATTTGTGTTATTAGCAAAAAAATAAAAAAAATTAAAAATTGCTTTCCTGAAGGAGTGAACATTAAAGGGCTAAGATACATTGAGCCAAATTTGAGCAATATTTGGCTTGTTTTTCATCCAAGTACCAATTACAAAGTAAAATCACAGTTAAAATCTATTCTGCAGCCTCCTCACTTAGCAGACACATGGACTTATGCAGCTTGACATTGTAAATCCCTATTGATCGGCTCAAATTTAACTGTGGCTTTTGGCTACTGATGCCTTTGAACCCTAGATTATTACTAAGCTTTGGCAGCATGACCCGCTCCTACTAAAGAAGAACGTGCTGCAAACCTCCATGACATCGACATGAATCAATGCAAAAACTGGACTTTATCAAAGAATGTCCACAAGAAAAATGTGTACATATAAAAAGAAAAGAACATTTAAACAAGAAAAACACTTCATTCCATAAAGTAGAAATATTACAAAATTATAATCAGACTAATTACTTGTCGTTTCATGTTTAGGTATATTTAAGTAAATATCCTCAGTGAAAATATATGGTGAAACAAATGGTTAAAAAGGTTTTCCCTAAGTAACTCCCTACCACCAGAGGGGGAGATGAATATGTTTTTTTCTGTTTTTTTTCTAACCCAAATTTGAACACACAAACAGCCATGCAATGGTTAAGAACGCCAATTCACAGGAGAAATGAAAAACATTTATGGGCAAAACTTTAGTGCGTTAAAAAGCCATCATTATTACAGGACTGAGACCGGAGCTTTTAGACAGAAGGGGCGGAGCTACGTGTTTGTTTAATTTATTTGTTTGTCACATACACATTACATGCAGTGAAAGTCTTATGTGTCTCAAGCAGATGTTCAGGACAGCATTCACACAATAACAGAACAATAACCACAGAAGTTGTGCCAGAAGTTGTTCATAATAGAATAGATGGATCTAAAAATAACTCCGGATTTTTAAAGCACTCAAATCATTAATATATGAGGATTGTACATGTTTCTTACGCACATGAATGATCTGAGTGGTCACTGGACGAGGGAAAGGTCCTAATGAGTCTCCATTGACTGGTTTACATGCATTTTGAAATTGGACTAATCAATCTTCCGGTTTTCCTGCATCCATGTAAAGGCCCTGAAGGAGCGGGTTGTGGATTAGACAGGAGCCGCTGACCTCTGCACTTATTCAGGGGCCCCGCAGGAGTTAAGGGGCCCCCATGACCTCGCTGCAGACTGTAAACTTGTGTCCTGTTTCTGCTATGTCTGAATGTCTGGTTTCCGAGTGCATCAGACAAAGTCCCAATGCATGCCCAATGCTCAATACGTACATTTTTAGATAATATTTTGTTAAATCTGCATCATGTTGATGCATCTTGGCTGCATGTTATCTGTATGACTCCATGGAATGTTAACTTTACAAAACGAGTCCGGATTATGGAGATGTATAGACCCAATTTTCAGTTACATTAAAAACAACCCAATTAAAACACAACTTTTTTGTATCCAGATGAGATCCACTGGATTGACTGGAATTTGCATAGCAGGAGCCCCTCTGTGCACGTGCGTGAGACCCGGTGTGAGACCCACACACGCGTGTTTGGCGCAACGCATTATGGGAGATCATCCACTGCGCAGAACCGGGAGGACCAGACGATGCCCAAATACAGGCGAGTTTCCCATAGATCTTTGCGACTTCCAGGCGACTTCCGCTAGTCTTTCAGCCCCCATGCCGTCACAAAGCGCCACTGAGCACAACCATTCATTTGAATAGGGCGCCATCTTGGATTGCCGGGGCTTGATGCATAGGTCTCCGGAGTCCATAAAGACTTTAAAGACCTGTAACTCACCATAACTTGGCTCTCACTGACACAGCTCATGTAGCCGCCACGCTCTGAGGACTGTGGGGCTAACATATTTCATATCTGCACTTGTCCCTGCAAACTCTCCCGTCTGATTCTCTTGCTCCAACATTGCTCCCAAAAACCTGTAACGAAAAGGTAGCAAGAAAATGTGCAGTTTGTAAATGTTGCATGTTCTCCTCTCATGGCATAATTACTTACACAAACACAGCACATAGCCCATAAACCCTGTCTAACCTTTTTATTCGATCAAAGGCATTTTTTCCAGCGGACGATGACAGAAAAACAGAGGAACAGAATTTCAGAGGAGCTCGGGGTGATGCGCTGCCACATGCCTCAGACACAGGACCCTGCACCAATTAGGCTGCAATGGAGTTTCCAGTGAAAGAAGGCCATTGAAGAGCGCCGCTTTCGCCCAGTTAGCCAGGGACAAGTATGCTTTGTAACACTACTGCAGGCATTTCAGGCACTCAACCCAGATACTACTGCAGAAGAATGGACGTTAACCTACAAACATGTCTGACTTTCCCATGCACTCACCCATTGTGGTTTGAAATAATGTTGAAATGAGTAGATCGAGGGGATGTGTGCCAGCATTAAGCCCGGCTGACCTGGTTGCACTGGACCTTCTACTCAACAAGAAATGATGGCACAGAGAGAATGTAGCTCATGAACTGGCACAGCTCAAAGGGAGGATTTAGGATTGATATTTTGTATTCCCAATGGAGAAAGATTCACACCATTCTGCTGTCTATCAGACCTATCTCCAGATGGCCTGCTTATAATACTGTTTTTTGGGCGGTTTTGTCGTGGTATAAACTTGTATATGAAATCCGATTCAGTTTCAGTTTCATTTTATATGCCAATTGCAGTAAAACCACATTGGAATACATTTGCAAAAGTCCCCAATGTGCATAAAGTACATAAATAAAACAAGGCCAAAAGTACAGAAATGAAACAAACTACAAAAAGTGCTAAAAACAATTGACACTGTGAAATCAATCAACGACAACAGTTTCAATACAAGTGCAAGATTATTGAAGTGCTTTGTTTAAACTAAGTAGGGCACTGGTGAAAGTTTGTTCACCTCAGTTTGGGGAAGATTTGCGATCTTTGTCCCGAATAATGTTATAACAATACATTGGAGCGCAGATCACAATCTCACACTAGATTCCTAGACACTCTGTCCCCACTGATCCTAACCCAAAGACATAGTAAGTGACTTTAACCTGGCCCGTTTCAGTTTCATGGAGTCCTCGGTTCCACGCCCATGCAACTATAATCTAAAGCAGATGTGTGTGTCCCGTTGGGCTACAAGGAATAACTGAGGAAACTTACCCCAGGCTCCTGCACCACCCGGCCTGCGGCGACCCCCTGGATGACGTCACTCTGTGGGAACATCGCGGCCCAGTCCTGCCCCCTGTGTTTGTTTATCTGGAGGTCCCATCAGCAGGAGACTTCAGCCTGGGTGCTCATCAAAGATTAATGCATTCACTGAGTTAACGTAGATAAGAAAATGTGCTGCATGTCATATTGTCTATTGTGTCTGTTATTACTGAATTTTATTGATTGTATGCAGCATGAATACATTGAAAGATGTGTCACAGATCAATGTATGCATCCCTGTTTGTTCTACTTTTTACTTCGGAATGACTGAAAAAACATCTTTGAAATTAAACTGTAGCCAAATCTTGTCCATGTTAATTCAATATGATATGAAAAAACTCACAAATGGGTGGTTCAAATAGCCAGTATTGTCTTTGCTCTTTGTGAAAATACAAAAAAATAAATACAAATGGATTAAGTTATAGTAGTAACAGTGATACCTTGATGATACCTCATTAATAAATACATTTTCATACTGTGTTTAATCATTCTTCTGTTGGCTGGAACAAGGCTGTTATGGGGGACATACCGGCGTATAGTTCATATTCTCTTCCCATAAAAAAACATGGTGAGGCTCTTTTGGTTTTGACGAAGAGCTCAGATGCAAAATACAAAAATGAGAATATGTCCTGCAACAGTATGTTTGAACATGCATACATACTGAATACGTATAAACCTGGAAGAAACATTGAACAAACAAATGGCTGGTTTGTTGGAGTAAAGAGCACGTTGACAGACTCCGTGGTTGTGTGTCTCTGGCGGATGTTGGTTGTAAAACAGAGCTTTTTGCTGACACAGGCTCGACACACGCCACAAACACTCAGCTTCCATTAGAGTGCATTTGCAGACGACACTGACGATCAATAGGAAGAACACTAACATGCGCAGCACACCAGTGGTCAACACCAGAGAGGACCAGAGGTGGGACACGGTGAGCAAACACATCAAACTGTACAGTACTCACATTTAAATTGGTCAAAGTAAAACATATCTTCAATGAGTCATGTTCAAACTTTTCATAATCTGGCATGTGCAGATTCAGGCATCTTTATTTCATATTCAATATTACAATTGTGTTTTTCATTTTAATTTGAGAATTACAATAATGCCTTCCTACTGTTAATATCATATAAGAATGTCTCTGTCTGAATGTGTTTGCATATAATCCCATATTCATATCCACTTATTGTGGGAATAAGATCAAACTGACCTCCCAGGAAAAGACCTGAGTCCAGGATCAACTTGGACCTTCCCGAGGCTTCTCACTTTTCCCAGTGGGTTTTAGAGTTTTTCCTTGCTGATGTAGGGTCTGTGGGACCCTTGTCTGGGTCTAAATAAAAGGACAATGGTGATGATCCAGGACACTCAGCATTCAACAACATTTGTGGACATTTATGGACATTGGCCATCCGCCCCTTATGGACCAATGGCTTTCATTGTGTTTGAAATGTTTGATTCTCTGATCTGTGTTGGCGAAATTAAACGGTTGTGAAAAGTCCTCCGAGTTAACTACTATTGTGATTTAGGGCTATACAAGAATGAATTGAATGTGGATGAGAGAAACACAGCGGGGAGAGGATGTTTATCTGGTTGGGGTCAGGGTTAGGGTTATTCTCTCTGCTACAAGAATAAGTGAAATGTCCTGGGACAGAAGAGGAGGTGGGTGCAGAGGGGAAACACATCAAACATGTATTATGCTCTTTCATTCTGGGAAGACAAAAGGACTTGTAATGTACAAAAAAGACGGCCTAATCGGCACCAAAAATACAAAAAATAGCTCACATTGAAAAACAGTTGTACTACTTTGTTTTGTTTTATAACTGTTTAATGTGCAATGTAAATATGTGATTATGTTTAAGGCATAGAAGGATCTTTTAATAAGACAAAAGTAAATTAGAGGTCACCTATGACAATGGTGGAAGTCTACCGCCGAAACATGTAACAGGTAATTAAGCATAAGCAATACTTGCTTTTTAGCAGAACTCGCCTATATTTGGGCAGCGTCTGGTCCTCCCGGTTCTGCGCCGTGGATTATCTCCCATAATGCGTTGGGCCAATTACGCGTGTTCTCATTCACGTGCACAGAGCGGCTCGGCCACGCTTTGACCAATCAGAGCTGCTGATCAGAGCAGCGGTACAGCGGAGTCAGAGCGGGAAGAAAAACAGCAGAGTTTGTGGCAGTAAAGTGTGGATTTAAAGGACATAAGAAGAAAACAAGTTCAGGATGACAAAGAACACTAAAATCCCCACAAAATCTGATCTTTATGAAAGCTGTACAGTAAGTAAAGTAAGTAATCTTTTATTTATATACCGCCTTTTCACTGCACATCGGAGTCTCAAAGCGGTTCACAAGTGCGATTTTTGGGAGTGGGGGTGCCAGTACAGGAGGCACATGCCAGACCTATTGTACATATTTTTAGTGGTAGGGGAAACCGGAGCACCCGGAGGAAACCTACGCAGACACGGGGAGAACATGCAAACTCCACTCAGAAAGGCCCTGGTCCAACCGGGATTCGAACCCAGGACCTTCTTGCTGAGAGGCGAGAGTGCTATCCACTCAGCCACCGTGCCGCCCAGTAGGCTCTCTGTCAGCTGAGGTCATGCTGTTTTAGTTTACATTCAGTTCTATGGGACTTTTTTCCGGGTAGCCCACGTGAATTTAGTTTGCAGTACCACGGGCGCCCCCTGTGCCATAGGTGGGACAGCTAAAAGCTAGTAATACCCTATCCAGTTATTATTATAGATCCAAGGTACAGCCGTTATTATCACAACATACATGACTATGAACCCTCCTTCTGTTATAAAAGGCACTTGAAAGCTTTTATCCTCTCATTTCTTTAGGTCATTGTATTCCGCTTCTCCCATCTGCTTCTTTCGTTCTTTGGCATGTCATGATAACAATGTAAATACCCACTTTGAAGGCCGAGAATAACATGAAGCCACATCTGCATCTTGTCTTACAGCACAATCATAGTAATTTAAAGAAAAATCTGTCGTGACTCATGATACATTATGTTTGTTCATAATATTTAAAACAGAATCCAACTGAATTGTCCTGTTTGCACACTTTGCCATATACAGCTTTTTACAGACCGGCTCCCTGCAGACTGGTGCGCTCTTTTTGCTCCATAAGGCTTGGCTAATTTGGAAAGAAAACCACAAACTAGCATAGCAGACGGTCTCTTTGGCATGTAATATGACAAACACATATGTTGAGGAGGCTTGAATGCTTGTCCATATGAAGAAGAATGACTGGAAGTGGACTTCAATAGTTACTTTTCTTTCAACACAAGTGTCTCTGTGTGCAGTTTACCTCTCCATTGTGGATACAGTACATGATATATGAGTTTTGGCACACACAAAACATTTCCACCGAGTTTAGTGTATGCCAGGGAGAAGTGTTAAATAGTCGGAAAGGAGATTCGGGAAACGACTTTTGCAGTGTTTTTTACTGAATATGACAGACAGCACTGGGACTGAAGCGTGGTACCATGGGAGGAGATGACGGAATAGAGAGAATAGTGTGAAATCGTCTCGTGTTCAGCAAATACATTTAGGCCTTAAAAGCTGAGGTACCTAACTTTTCACAACAACTGGAGTAAGAATTACACATTCTAAGCTCTCAGTACAGAACAGGACAGAACTATATCATGCACTATACATGTTTGTATTTATTTATTTTTGGCCACAGAAAAGTTAAAAAGAGAAGAGCAACCAATCAGTGACTCAGAGAGCTCACAGAGAATACAATTTCTAATGAAATATACAAATTAATATTAACTATTGTTCATCTATCTTGTGCTGTATCCTCCTCATTCCTACTGTTCTATAACTTGTGATGCAACACTAATATTTCCCCACTGTGGGACGAACAAAGGATCTCTTAATCTTAATCTTAAATATTTGTTTACAATATTTTACTTTCTCCTTCTTTCTGTAGCGAGAAACAACATACAGTATTCATGGAACAAAAAAGTGAGATCCCCCAGCTTTAAGGATGCATAGATAGTATGGTTAAAGTATTACCTCCATCACTGTAGGAAAAAAAAAGAAATAAAGAGTTGAAAAAATCTGATTCTGTTCTGTTCTGTTAGAAGGGGCATAATCACCATCTATTAAGAGACTTCTTCAACATACAATGCCAATCAGCTCCCCTCAGTGTTTTGTGAACATAATGGCTGATTGCACCAAGCAGGGGTCTGAATGAGTGCATGTTACCGAATAGGAATTTATTAGAGACAGATTCTATATACTTTTAGAGTTATCCTTTAACAGTGAGAAGGTTGTAGGCCGAGGAACTGAGACAAGGAAGAAGCAAACCAGAACCACTGAGGACTTTAGAGTCCATTCACGTCAGAATCGGGAGCCAATGAGTCAGAATACTGCATACTGGATGAACATTTAACATAATCAAATTAATTGTGCTAACTTTTCTACTTTTTCAGTTTCTTAATGTTCAGGTCTTTCAATGGCACTATTACAGACATAGATATATAGCTAGATAGATAGATAGATACTTTATTGATCCCCCGTAGGAGAAATTCAGGTGTCCAGCAGCAGAAGACTTTTTTGTTGTTGTACAGTCAGTCAGGTTTGTTGTACAGTCTGTTTTTTGTGCAGTCTGACAGCCGAAGGAACAAAGGATCTATTGAAACATTCCGTTTGGAAGCGTATTGATAGGAGCCTGTTGCTTCGATTACTCCTCTGAGCGGCTATAGTGTCATGCAGAGGGTGTCTGGAGTTACCCAGGATGCCCTGCATTAGAGCCCTCACCCTTCTCTCCAGCACAGCTCCCACAGATTCCACACTTCTCCCCATCACAAAGACACATTTCCTGATCAGCCTGTCGAGCCGGTTACTGTCTCTTGAGGTCAGACTGCCGCCCCAACACGCAACCCCGAAGAACACGGCACTAGCTACCACAGACTGGTGAAAAATGTGCAACATTTGACTGCTCACATCAAAGGACCTCAGTTTACTCAGAAAAAAAAGTCTGCTCTGACCTTTCTTGTAGATTGTATTGGCCTGAGCTGACCAGGCTCCGGCCAATAGACCACAGACTGGACGTCTGTGGTCCAGGTGGACTCCCAGATATTTATGGGATTGAACCACTTCGATATCCTGTCCATTTACTGTGATTAAGGGCTCTTGTGAAAGTTGATTATCATCTCCTTGGTCTTGGACGCATTGAGAATCAGTCCATTTCTCTCACTCCAGTCTGAGAAGGCAGCCACCACCTCCCTGTACTCTTGTACATGGCATGTAGCAGAGTTGTGTGCAAAGTCTGCAGTGTAAATTGTGAAGAGGAAGATTAACATGTTTGCTAATGTGAGTTATATATGTTCAAATAAATATGTTCACGGCCCCTCCCTTTCAGGCCCGGAGGATCCAGTGATTGGGCTGTGTACCTGCGTTTAAATGTGTCTGGACTAAAACACCTCTCTCTCTGCTCTCAATTTGTTTGTTACTTTCGTTAGATTAGCTTTGGTTTTTCACTCAGACATAAACTTTCATTCACTGACTTGTACACATTCCACTGTTTACATACTCACACCTCATTCTTAATCGTTACATTTTGATGGCCATTATTGTTGTTATTTTCCTATAAATATGTGACAAGGCCCCTACCTGTCTGTCCCTCATTTTGCCACAAGCCTTGAGTCCAGGACCCGATATCAATAGTTGTCTGTGTCATGTCCGGACCATCCAGGCTCTAGCTCCAAAACACAAACCAGCACATCCTGTATTCACTGGGCTCCTATGCCACTTGAATCCTCATACTTTGAAATTGTGATAAACAAGTGGGACATTGCAGCTCAAAATAAACAAACTTGATCTTGACAAAGCAAAAATAATAGTAGTGACGTAATATGTTCCACCATCTCCTCTCTTTTCAGAAGTTGCAGTGTCCTTTGTTGCTCTGAAGCCGTTAGCAGCAGTAATTCTTTGATAAATGACTTGAAAATTCCTGAACACCACTGGGACCCATTTATTCCTTGAGCCAGCTGTGTTGAGACAGAAAGATGGCATCGAAAAGACATAGACTCAGACACAATATTATTAGCCATTTCTTCTGCTTATGTAATCAAAGGTTAGGACAGAATACTGCTATACTTCTTACTCCTAGCCAGACTTTCTCAGCCAGCATGCAAAATCCACCCAGGCCCAATACAATACACGTTCAAGCTGGTGGTAATTCCATTTATAGGCAAAAATAACTTGAGATTATCATTACAGCAGTGCAGCTCTCTCTGGGACGGGGTACAGGCAGAGGGTGTAGACTTTGCACGAAACAGGCACCACATTTTAAAGAAGAAAAATAAGGTTCAGCCATGTTACAACAGGTAGTTTGACAGCAGAGGAAATGTGGCAAAAATCCTTGTTTGGAGTAAAATCAAAGGTAAAAATATAAGTTTAGATTTAACAGGTTAGAGCAGAGGTGTCAAACTGGGTCCAGAGATGGCCGGTGTGGCTGCGGGTTTTCATTCCAACCAAGCAGGAGCACAGCAGACTCCATCCATGTCCGCAAGTCTTCAGGTTAAGACCATAGACTGTAAATATTAACGAACGTAGCCACGCCTATCTTGGGACTGGTATTGTTAGTCTGCACCAGCCCATTCATAGAAGTGCATTCAAAAGACTACAGCAGCTAAACTAGACTGGTCCCACAAAAATACTTCCCTCAGTATTGACAGCATCTGGAACGTGGCATTGGGCCAAGAGCCGACTTTTGGATCATCCTGTAAAGCCGTTTTTGATAGGAAAGAAGGCGGCGGCATACAAAAGCATGGGGTAATTCTCTTTCCGGGTACACCCCCACCGGCCCGGAGTGGTATTGCAAGCATGTCAGCGCACGTGTTCATGGACCTTTTTGAGCCAGGAAATGGGTGGAGTCTGGTGCGCTTGGTTGTAATCAAGACCTGCAGCCACACAACACCCTTTGAGAACGTTTTGACAGACCCCGGGTCAGAGGTTAAAAGAATTAAAATAGCCACAGAAGTTGGCACAATTAAGGGGAAACTAACTATTATTACTATTTTGTTATACCACACACTTGTGTAGTCCTGCAGTTATTCCAATAGTTTCACAGCAAATGGCAAATAAACGTATTACTACATAACTAATATAAGTAGACATTGCTTGATTGTCTCTCAGATTCAGATGGATTCAAATTCATTTTATTTTCTATTTGCAGTAAAACCACATTGGAATACATCTGCAAAATTCCCCACTCCATGTAGTTGCACCAGACAAGTACAGTACATCATTAAAACAAGGTTAAAAGAACACAAATAAAACAAACAAAACAGGAAACAATTGTCACTTTGATATCGAAATTAAGCCGGCTGTGCTAAAAACGCTAAAAACATTTTTTAAACAAACGTTTAGTGAAAGAAAATCTCGATAATATGTTCAGAGATACATAGAATGATTAATTCGGCCACGATTCTTCTACTGTCTGCCAAGCACCAAAAGCACAGAGCAGCTTTAATGCTATAGAGCCACATACAATATCGCAGACTGGTAAAACACCGAAGGCAAAGCTCCATAGACGAATACAGTACATCACTTTCTAATGTTCAGGACTTTTATTTCATTTCATTTCATTTTCTTCCAACGATTTCAACTCTGGGACTTTGGAGTTATGAACATATTTAGTTGTGTCGGTTTAGTTCATGGATTATATGAAAGGTATTAGATTTACATTATTTTTGGATGTAATAACACCGGTTTAGATATATTAATTATATATATTTTGTCAATAAAGCTATATGGGCAGAAAATAGAATAAAAATGGAAATATGCCAAAAGCGATGGCGTCACAGGGGAAAAAAACAAACTAGGATAAATCTTCTCACATTTTAACATTTTAAATTCAGTAACGATTGTACCTGCATGTGTTTGAGTGAAGTGTATTTTCTAACTGTGCAAATAATATACACTTTGTCAAATATTTCTATCTTGTTAAAATTCACTTTTCAGTACCAGCACATTTTTGGCCCTCACTGACTTTTACTAATATTGTCTAATCGGATTTGGTGGAATGGAACTTTCTATCTGCACTTTTTTACACATCAAAAAAGTGCAACCAACAAACTGTTTTTGTTGTTTTTCTCTCACCATATACTGAATTTTGAATAATAGTATAATAATATATGTATGATAATGACCTTGCATATCCCAATCATGACTCCAGGAATCACTGATGTTTACAAATATAGTATATATCCATTAACTTTTATCATGGAGTATATTCATAAAATAGATTCATCACAAATGCATGCATAACATTTACACACAGTATTTGTGAATTTGACAATTATACATTTTTCATTAAATATATTTATTTTTCACCTTGCACCTCTCAGCTTGGTAAGGGAGTCACGTCAATGATCAAGTTTGCTATACTGACATTGCAAATATCTCTGTGGCAAAAAATAAACTTTCCCATGTGCTTTTTATTCTTTTGGGAATAACATTTAATCAAATCAAATCCAGGGAATATCCCACGACCCTGAGTAAACTATGACACAGACTTTTTAAAGTATTTCTCCACGTTTGACAATTATTATTGACTGATCCCATCCTGTGCATAAAGCTTAAAGGTGCACTATGTGACTTTTCTGGCCGGTCTATTACCTGCTTGTTTCTAGCAGTTGCTTGAAAACCCTCTTATCTGAACTGCGACATCACATACTTGTCCATAAATGTGCTTTTGTTTTTAATAATTTATGCCACATCAATATGTCAGACACATTTGGATATCTTTAAAACGTACTAAATATTTTAAATGAGGCCCTTGAATTTTGTGATGATGACTTTAACCTCTTCAATACCACCAGAGAAGCCATTACAACAAAGTGCCGGCATGGCAGCTGATCGTGCTTCAAGCAGTGGCTGTTTTGGCGAGTCAAGTTGCCTACACAGTGCAGCGATATATAATCCTTGTATCTGAGATAGAGAAAAAGTAGGTCAAGAACGGTAGGAATCAATCACAGAGCAAAATAAGAGCGGTGGAAGAAATAGTGTACTCAGGAGAAATGACTCACACTTGTGCGAAAATATAAAGGTATAACAATTATTACGTGACTAAAAATGTCATCTTTAATGCCATTACCCTTTAGGCAGTGCAATATCCTATCTGTGTAGTCAACAAGCAGCATCTTAGACCCTTCGCTAGAAAAGCTACGTAATGCAGCTTCAGCACTGACATCATGTTTGACAAAGTTAGTGCAGGGACAACACACAAAGGCATTTCATTGTCTAAGTAGACCAGTAGATATTTTTCGACTAATGTAGAGAACTGGCCTTGGTTGCGTCAGTCCCATGAATCTTCCCGCACTTTCACAAAAACGTCACGTCTTCTTGGGACTGCACCCAACGCCAATGCGCGTCATACTCTAGAGCCATGTTTTTACCATTGACTTTGCACGACGAGTCTGTTTCTATCTTCCCGTTGGTGTACGCTTTGTGGTTGGGACTTTTCTTAATGTTGACGAGGTTGTGTCGGGGGCTTCCCATTTGGGCACTCGCTCCGCACTTATCGGCCATCGTTACGCTGTTCGTCTTGCCGTGTTGAGAAGGCTGTTTGACGGGGCTGTTTTTGGCAGAAGAATCCGGAGTTTTCTTCTGCCAGGTTGGAGGCGAGCTCACACGTTTCGGGCTGTCCATTCTAGGCCTAATCGTCGCGGTAGGTTTGGAGATCGCGATGCTGTTACCGCCTTCAATAGCTTTTTGGACAGCTTTTGGCAATGTCTTCCCCCCCAAGGTTGCTTCGGAAACCTGGGGGGTTGACGAACAAACGACAGACTGGTCGGAGCTCGGAGGGCAGTACTCATCCATGTCGTCAGCGAGCGTGTCCAAGTAGCTTCCGATGGAGATGTTGTCGAGTTTGTCGTTGGGGTCTTGCAGGCTGCTCCAGGATCCTCTCCAGGAAGTGTCGGGACCCTCGCCCAGGCTGTACTGGCTGCTGGTCAGGCTGCTGCAGCGGCTGGTCAGGGTGCTGCGTTCTTCTAGAAGCCACTTGACCGCTTCGATGCCCTCGTGCAGGGCCAAGAGCTGCTGCAGGATCTTCACGTCTGTCGAGCGCAAACAGGCCTGCAATAAGAGAGAGCGAGAAGGGTCAATTATTGGAACAGAAAAAAGAACTTGAGACATAGAGGCCTGACACTTTCTGACGAAGTCCAAAAAGTGGCATCTAAAGGCAAGTCAAGTTTAATTGTATAGCACAGTTCATACACAAGGAAACTCAAAGTGCTTAACAAAACGAGATAGAACCAAGAACAAGGCATTAAAATCATGAATAATCACAGTACATTAAAAAGAGTGAAAATAAAATCCCCCAGTTGTATGCACATCTATACAGAACTTTTAACCTGGATTTTTTAACCTGGATTTGTCATTGACATTTTCAGGAAGACTGTTCCAGATTTTAGCTGCATACATCTGAAATGGTGGAGTCACGTGGCAAATATGGATAACCCAAAATGCAGGACAGCTAAAAGAAGTTATTTAATAAAAGTAAATACAAAAACAAAATCCAGAGTTAAAAACACAAAACTATACCAAACTGGGGGTGAAGACAAGAACCAGGAGATGTGGGAATGACAAAGACAGGACAGGGAGTGAAGGACAACATAGGGTTTAAATACACAAAACTAACGAGACAGGGCAGGTAATCAAACAACAGGAAGTAGAACTAATGAGGAGAACGAAGGAACAAATTACAAAATAAAACAGGAAATAAACTTAAATCATGGCAGGTGAGTAAAATTAAAAGTTCTTTATTAACTGGACATGACGGATACACGTTCTGTCACGAGGTGTGTTTTTGTCAGTGCACTTGATATGACTTTCTTTTCACTTACTACATCATGTGTGTGTCTTGGAATCCTCTTTTTTGTTTATGTTTCATTCCATTTAGCCTCATCCTGGAGAGCACCTGTACATGTTTTATCACTGTCTGGCTTTATCGCTCTTTATTCACAAGATCAGAAATATGTTTATTGTGGTAAATGATTTGTTATAAGGGAGTGGTATTGAAATGAATACCTACAACAGAGGCGTACTGTATTTTCAGCAACCATGATTGTTCTAAAGCTACATTGTGGTGCCTATTTGAGTCCAGTCTTTTTAAATAATGGAAACATAAGTGCACACTACAAAGCTCTGAGCGGTATGAAGTACAAACACAATTATTCTTTCACAAACTTCAGAATGACCAAAGCTGGAGGTGGAGAAGCTGCCAATGCAGAGAACAGGCCCAAATATAGAACAAAACAATTGGTACTTAATAATAGTCAGTACAAACCTTATATAGCCTGAGTCCAAATATACCAGAGGGATCCAAGGATCTGGTCAAAACTATAACTGTATTTGGAATTTAGCTTTAATGTCTATTTATTTAAGTGTTTTTTGGTACATTTACTATAGCTTAATATTTTTGCTCTGCATTTGACCCATAATTTTATTGGTACTGTTTGGGCAACCTGTTAGGAGCGGTGGTTACTGCAGTGCAACGCAGAGGACCCAACTCAGATTTGGAAAAAGTTTCCTTATGGCGTATGTTTTGAATGCGGGGGAAACAGGAGTGCCCGGAGGAAACCCAAGCAGACATGGGGAGAAAATGAAATCTCTATCCAGACAATCCAAGACTGGCGACTGTGCAACCATTTTGGTAGGAATGCTTGTACACAGAGGACATATACTGCTAACATGTACAGATGCTAACATACAGTATAACTACACATTGCTTGCACTAGAATACACAGTTCTTTATACTTGTCTCTTTTTTTTCCAGAATAAATTCTTTATTATTATTATGTTCAAGATAGAGATTTTCTACTTGTTCTTTGATGCTAGAGATTTTGTTTTATTTGAATTAGTGTAGCTATTGTTCATTTATCTTGTACTGTGTGCTTCTCATTCCTACTGTTCTGTAACTTGTGATGTAACACTGAAATTTCCCCGCTGTGGGACGAATAAAGGATGTCTTAATCTCTTAATCCACAGAAGTAAGGAGTTATTTAGCTTGAGTAAAGTACATTAATCATTTCAGACTAACTTTTCTTACAACTTAAAACAATAAAAAAACAATAATCAAATTAAACAGAAATGTATAGTTTGAAAAGGGGTTGGACTAAGAAAAAGCATACACGCACACGCACACACACACACACACACACACACACACACACACACACATGCAGACATAGACCTGCACACTCTCTTACATCCATCACTTGCTCGGCACAGACCGTGATTGTAAGTTGTGAAAGATAATAATTAAAGCAGACAAAAGTACAATATGCCCTCTATGAATACACAGAGAGAAATAACATGATTTTTTTGTGCGGATGGAGGACGTAAAAACACAAAAGCAGACAGTGAATCAGAGCTAATGGGCAGCTGTGGTTGGTATTTCTCCTCTAAATACATCCACAGAACTCTGTGGTTAACGTCTTGTCCAGGAGGTGAAAGATGCACCAATAACTTCACTCCACACGAAGGCCACACTAAACCGCTCTAATAGAATCACATTGTTCATTTATAAGCTGTGAATGTCCTGTTATTCAAGATAAAAAGAGAAATATCAAATACACTAAACAAAAGCCTAACCTGGTGCTGACAGATCTGCACATTGTTTCTGTTGACATGTTGTGCATCAAATTCTAAGGAAGAAAAAATGGACAATGTACCTGTGTACCAGTATAAACAGAGACAGTTGGTACAATGTCAAGGTCTATCGTAGATCAATATATAATAAAAGTTACGTAGTGCACCTTTGACTTCGAATGACCTGCCACGTCATTCTACATTTCAAAGACAGACGGAACTGAAAACACAGAACTCGCGTTTCGCAAATAGTTGAGATTAAGCAGGTAGTGATCCAGTGTTGATAAGATTTACAACAGATAAATCACCTGCACTTACTGTAACTTGCCTGTACTTACTGTCAGAAATAGACATGCAGGTTTCTGTTCAGTTCTGTCATACAGGATTTAAGCTGTCCGATTAAAAGTGACACAAACTTGGCTTATGAAATAGGCCACTTGGAGCAGAGATTCAGAATTTGAATAGTTCTGATACTATTGTGTGGTTGTGGCTGGTACATCAGAGAAAAGAATAACAGTTGCATTAAAATTACATGTACTCTTACTTTTTAAAAAGCACACAGTCCTAAGAGCATGCGTTAAGGTGGAGGGTGGAGGGGCGGCTGAGGTTAGGGCTGAGGTTTTGGGTTCGGCACAGTGTGGGCACTGTGCCAAACAGGCACAACATCCTGTCAGGGCTCAGCCTCCCCTAGATGCTTAGAGCTGCAAGATGTCTCATAGTCAAAAGGGAATCACTTTATGAATGGTTGCGATTAGCCTGTGCAAAATTATATAGCTGAAAAGTTCGATTCAAAAATACCAACAAATGTTGACCTGTAATTGCAACATTCTGCAGAGTAAATGGACAGAAATGGGTAAAAAGTTCAAAGAACACTTAAAAAATGGCAAAAGATATGTTGATTTAAACACAATTCAAATGTAAAAGTTTTTCAAATCAAGTGTTATGTGGCTCTTTCTAAAAAAATAAAGGTACAAATAAAAATATATACTATATTTTGAACGCTTATTTAGTTTTCCGACACTCTGCTAGTTTGATGTCTCCTCATTGGTTTGTTTGCTATGCCCAACAATAGAAACTCAAGATTGGTTGTTTATCTTACACATTTTACAACTCGAAACATTGTATTTTGTTATTCAATGTCAAATGTGATCAAAATGTAGGTACAGTATGTAGTTATGGGCAACATCTATAGTTAGATAGATAGAAGTACATATAATACACTACTGTAGTCTAGTAGAAGTTACTATACCGTGTATAAGAAATCAAACTGGTAAAACGCAAAAACTACGTCCAATTTTATTGATTTGGATTTTGCAACTTGCTCGAATCAATTCTGAAATAGCAGTTTCCTTAGGTCTGAAAGGGTCAACTCATATATTTTCCAGCTCTAACTGAGTGGCAGATAACTGTCTGAAATGATAAATGCAAAAGTATTCCAAAGTCAAACTGTGGTCAGATTATTTCCATGTCAGCGCTGTTAGGCCAGTGCCCAGTCCCGGATGAATAAACCATCACTCCACAGACTTCGGTCTCATATCCCATCAATCACTTTTTATATTTCAGAACGGAGGAGGATTTTATGTTTCTGCTCAAGCCGCAAGACTCTGGAAAAGTCATTGAACATTAAAAATAAATCAAATTCAGCCTCCACGTTGTTTAGAACGCTTAAGGATTATGAATACAACGATCGATAAGTGAAGCACGGCAAATGTAAATATACAACTATAGCTTGACTAGAGTCTGATTAGCTTTGGCTTTGATTACAGCAGTGGAAACCAGGCAATAACACAAATAACCACAAGAACTAAACGGACCTCAGTAAGCTTGAAATTGTTGTAAAAGGTTTGGTCATGCTCATATTGTTGGATTGGTCTAAGATTTCCATGGACCTCAACAGTTTTCAATCCAACTGAAGTCTTTTTTTTGTCCCATATTCAACAGCGGTGTGTTTACATGAAGTTCAAATGGGAAACTGTGTCATAGAGGCTGAAAATGGAAAATAAATTGTTGGATTTTTGACTTTTACTGTAAATTGTCTATTTGATAATCTGGCTTAAAATGTCTGCTATTCTGACTTTAGTGCCGACAACTGGGAGAGGTAGGAAGATAAAAATTCTGAGTATGCTGTATAATTTTCACAACCTCAAACATTCCCAAATAGTAGATTAAAATAAACGCTGTTTATCACTTGTTTGCACCAAGAGCCAAAGCCATTTCTTAGTTTGTGACCTCCTGATTCTCACAATGGCAATGAAAAGTACTCCGATTCTGATGTTTGCGTGCTGGCCATTGATAGAATACACATGATCATATCACAGTCATATTAGAGTCTAAAGTTACACTCCATAAATCTTTCAGAGACTTTCAAACCAAACCTTAAACAGGTCTGTACCATATTTAGTGTTTTTGAAAAGACAGACAGGGAAATAATATTCCTTGCATCCTGTTCATTTAAATGGTGCAGTTCTCCAGACGGCCTGCAG